TCTTTAGCAAAATATTAATATTTTGGGGTCGTGAACCTAATAGTTTCAATATACCTATCTGGAAAACAGCCCGTTGCAAAATAAATAGTCACAAGAAAAATAAGTGGCTTTATGAAAGCTCTTTTTATTCAGAATGTCGGTACCTCATCAAATCCTGACGATAATTTATTTTTTTAATTTGCCCTTAAGATCCAACCGAAAACCTTGAAAGTTTATAATTCCTTTTGTGCCTTTATTTCTAGTCCAATTTTCGTGAAATTTTCAGAAAATACATATAATAACAAAGCGCATTAATTTTTTTGTAAAACTTCGAAAAGTATTTATTTTGAAAAATTTTAAAAGGAATTAAAAAAAAAACATTTACGCGCCATTCTGTATTAAATCTATGAAAATTTGCTGCTTTTGGTTTAATAAATATCTAGTAGTTTTTAAATGGGAGGATTATCCATCTTTTTTTTTAACAACTCTGTATAGTGCTGTCTTATCGTTGCACAAATTTAAACCCTCTATATCGTCGAGAAAAATAATATCGCGAAGTATTCCCAGTGGCGTGCTCATAAATAGAATTTTATATCAGAAAATCTTTAAAATATTTGTGTTTTCGCGAGAGGTCCGGTTTGCTCTTAATTAATGTGAAGAAAGTCTAATTTATTAAAAGTTTATATATTTAAAAACACTATTTACAATTTATTTCAGACGTACTATTTAATTTATATAATATTTAGACACTAACTGACAATTCTAATTTATTTCTTACACTTTAACTTTTCAATACAACGTTCTATATTAAAACTAAACTCGGCTCTGATACGTCGGCTATTTATATTAGTCCAAATCCGCTACTGAAAAATACGAGAGGCTCTCGAACATTCCTTTTTATGACTAAGCGGCACTCTCCGCCATTCCAGTCGCTTCCAGTGCTTCAGCGGCAGACATTCCGTCGTATTCTTTTACATTCGAGACGCGGTCCGGCTGTTTCCACACGTCAGCGTTGCTTCGATCATGAATTGGTTGCCATGTGAAGGCCGCGTGCGTACACAGGCACAGGGTCGGATAGGGATATGACATTAAATTTAACATTTCTTGTCCATTACAGGGTTTTAGAAAAACTGAAATGCATGGTGAAATTATACTTTTCCTTCAACTATAGACCTAATAATACCTAATTACCTAATACTCCTAGGTCTAGAAATAATAATTATTGAAGAGATTACAAAGGATTGCATGGTTTTTAAAGTATTTTCTAATAGCAAAGATATTTTGGGTCTGTTGTTCCCTATACACAAGTTTTCTAAAAAAAAAATAATTGAAAATGGTGTTCCAATTCTACAAACAATATGATATAAAAAGTCGAAAACGCTATTTCGATTAAACAAATAAACATTAAATATATCTTATCTCTTTTGGCATTTATAAAAATAAGAAAATATTTACTTTCTTGTAGATATTCATTATAAAACGATCCATTTACAATTTTCTAAGCAATTCAACGACGTATGAAACAATTAGATTAAAAACAATTTCAAGGAACTTTCTACAATAATTAGGGACAGTGACGTACCAAAGAGTAGAAATAAGAAGAGATGACGTCAGGGCGAGAAACTAAAATCGAGAGAGATAGAGCTAAACTTTAATTTACAAGGATTTAAAGGGATCTTAAATGAATTCCATAGGCAGCGACAGAGTGATTTTAATACAATTACGCTTTACGTGTCAACCATAGTATTAACTGATTGTGCCTCTATGATTTTTTTATTTCTTTTACGACTCAAGGGTCTATTCTGTATCAATTCCTTTATATTTAACGGCCTTTAAAAATATTGGCGGCCTATAAAAACATGTTCGTATTCGTTAATTTACTTCTGTCATTATTTAAACAGATTTCTTTAAGATAGTCCTCTAATGTATTTTAAAGATCCGTTTAAATAATGACAGAAGTAAAGAAGAATATAAAGGAATTGTTATAGAATAGACCCCTTAGAATGTGATACATTTATAAAAAATTCGTACGTTCATATCGTATCGATCCATCCAAATTTTAGACGGTTGGCGCCAGAACCTTTTCCGGCAAAGACTAAGGTAAAAGAATTGTAAAAATGTATAGTAAATATTCATCCATATACACTATTCTGTTTCACTTACTTGAAGGTGTATTGCGAAGATTAAGGCGTAGCCAAGAGGGGGGAGAAAGGAAAGCTGCCTCCTACTCAATGTCTGCAAGCTTGTAAATGTCTTAAAGTCGTTGTATCTCAATTTTAAAATCTTCATGGGGTTGTGTAAAAAATAATCTTTACAAATAAAAAAATTGCAAAAAAATTGCTTCTGAAATTGCGTAGCTAATATAAATTTAAGGGCGGTTGCAATAGATTAGGTTAAATGTCCACAGCAAATCGAACATATCGTGGAATAATTCTCGGACAAAATATTGAAGAAGGTGATTCCTCCCTGTTCACGTACAACAATAATACTATACCAGAGCATAATGAATGGAATCACGCGCTTAAAACTGCAGAACTTATCGGAATCACGTGCCAATTAGTCATAAATGCATGTTTATTGCCAAAATGAATTACGCCAGTGGCGTATAAAAACTATTGGCAAATTAAATGCGGTAATAGTAAATATTATTATATGAAAGTAGGTTGGTTATCTATTTTTGTAGTAATAATCATTTATGTTTATAATTTTGTTTTGTTTATTGTTAAAATATGTAAATATTATGCCAGTGGCGTAGAAACACTATTGGAAAATTAAATGGGGTATTATACTAGAACAAAATATTGAAGAAGGTGCGCCTTAAAACTGCAAAAGGTATCGTTATCATATCAAAATGCACTCTTCCAGTGTCGCAGAAATACTATATTGGCAAATTAAATGGGTATTTGTGAATATTACTAGATGAAAGTAGGTTGGTTATCTATTTTTGTTATAATAATTCATCTATGTTTATAATTGTATTTTGTTTATTATAAAAATATGTAAATCAAGCTTGGTATCACTTACTTGAATTCTAAAGTTTCGTAATCCATTGATTCTGCAGAACTATCACTGGAATCGTATTTATCGTCGGAACTTAAGGTTATAACTAAAGGTTCAACTACCGTTTCGGTCATACCGTCCAAGCGCCACATATTATTTTCTTCCTTAATTACATGGTAAATAGCATTCTGCCAATATTCAGGTTTTATACGTTCTATACCGGTTTTTAATAAACTTTGAGCGTCGGCTTTTTTAAAAGTTTTATTTTCTCGAGCTACAAACCCTTTCACTTGCGCCCAAATTAGTTCAATAGGATTGAATTCGCAGTGATAAGGGGGAAGTCTTAGTACCGTAATACCACGATCACGAGCCATTGTGTCGATAACATATAGAATATATTTATGGCGGTGTTCCTTTATTAGGTCCATTAATTCTACTTTAAGCATCTCCTCAGTAAATGTTATTGCTTTATCCCGGAGCCAGGTTTGCATATCCGCTTTCCTACTGGACATTATCGGAATGCGTTCAACTTGTCGACTGTGATAAGAAGCGTTATCTAGTACAATAACTGAATTTCGTTCTACACGCTGTAATACTTCAGTATACCATTTTTCAAAGCATTCCGCATTCATGTCCTCGTGGTAGTCTCCTGTTTTTTTTCGATATAAACACAAGGGCGCTATTTTCCAATAATCCACTATCATTTCCGATATGGGTATCAATTAGGCGCTGTCCTTTACCTAATGGTGCTTTCAAACCTGTAGATAATCCCTCTATAAAAGCTTGACGATGACCAGTTACAGAAGTATCTTGCCATATCTTAGATACCGTGTGTCCAGCATTCACCCATGTTTCATCGAGATAGTATATCTTTTTTTTAGCGGCTCTAAACTCTTTAATATTTCGTAAATAATGCCGTCGCCAGGACACTATATCTGACCTCGCAATTAAAATTGATTTCCTACACCGTTTGACAAAACGAAATTTTAGGCCCTATAAAATTTTTCGTAAAGTTTCACGGCTCATTAATGGAATTTCTTCGTTTTCTCTTAATTTCATAAGAACAACTTTAAGTGTGGGGCTTTGTTTTCGAAAAAAAAAAAAAAAAGAATGTACAGTTCTTCGAATGATTTGTTTTTGGTTATCGTCCAATTTCAACAATTTTCGACCACGGGCATGCATTTTAGGGGCTTCTACTATTAAATTGTTTTTATTAAATTTATAAAGACACCAATATTTTACTATTTAATAAACTTTTAAAGTACCTACCTAATATACTACACAATAAATATATCTCCTCTAATATGCACTACCATGTGTAGTATATCAGAAAAGAGCACTTATACAAAAAAGTGTTTATAAAATATAAAATAATTATCGTAAATAGTTAAAGCGATACAAATCTAACTTCGTCGAAAGTTAGTTTTCAACTGTCTTTGTGCCTGTGCTGACAATATTCAATCTGTAACCAGTCTGTCGTTTATTTACTTGAAACACATTTTAAAACCATTAAACATAGATAACGAAGTCATTAGGGAATAAATATATTCATTTCTTGAAAACTATCAAAAACGTATATTTAACGCATCATCTTTGTTTAAATAAAGATGTTGACAAACAAATTTAATAAAGTTTACTAACTAATACCTAATAAATAATAAATTATTATTTTGTATTTGATACGCCGCCTATGCTAACTCTGTCGGAATTTTCATTCATAGACAACAGTGTTGACCATGCATATGACTCACCTTCTACAATATTTTCTCCGAGTATAGTAGGTAAGCATCGTCATCGTGACGAAGTGGAGGAGACAGTTTCCCACCAGTATCAACATCTAAACAGTACTTCAAAATATATGTTTTAATACTGTACTTAAATTCTTTCTGTATGGACTAAAAACCTTTCTGGGTTCAGGTTTTTGTGATCATAAATTCTAGAGTATAAATGAGCAATGACCTATTAACGATCAATATCCAAATAAATATATAAAGCATCTAACACATTAATTTTAATTTCAGAAAACTATTTTGGAAAGTATAGAACAGGACGACCCAAATTTCGACGGCAAGGCATACTATAGTTTAGCCATAGTGTATGTTTTTTTCTCAGTATTCAACTGGGCAGCTCCATCAGTTATTAGTATAATAGGACCGAAGTTTTCTATGCTTCTAGGAGGAATAACTTATTTGTAAGTAAAATGTTTATGTTTATTCTAAGTAAAAAAACAGTTTTACAATAGAAAACTAATAGCCAGATATAATTTTTATTTATTGTTATTTTATTAAATCGGTGAAAACACTGATAACATAAATATATCTTTACGGCGATGATAAACATATACGCAGTATTATGATTATATGACTCACAATGTAATAATTTTCCTTACTTTTAGAAGCTGAAATAATTACTGTGAGCATTTAGCAAATTATATCTGGTTTCCAAGGCATTTATTGCTTGATCTATAGTGTGAAAAAAAAAATATATTTTATAGTTTTGTTTGAGGTCTTAAAAGAATTCATCCGGGCCCTCATACAAAAACGTTCTTGTTTTGCTTCTGACAAGGTGACGTGGTGTGGTGGTTTCGAAATTATCTTCCACGTCAATCTCTGAAGCAAGCTCGGTTGCTTCTAAAATGATGTTTTCAAAAGCTTCATCTGATCTTATGTTTTCAAAGAAGAGTTGACAGTTGCTAAGCATATCAATAGCTGGTGACATATTAAAATTTACAGTTTGCAAAAGTTTGCTGATGGGGTTAATATGACTCAAAATTTTGTACCAGATCACAACAGAGCATATAAATTTGAACTGCTTCAAATTATTTAATAATCCGCTACCCTCGTTTCTGATCATATTATCGATTTCTGAATCTTCATATATGCTGTACAAAGCATTGTGAATTGGACCAATTTGAAACCGCAGAGCCTTTAATGAGTCGACTCAACTTTCCCATCGCGTATCACTCAATGGTTTTAGGGTGTAAGTATCAATATATTTCAGTAATATTGCCCAACGAAAAGAAGAGGAAGAAAAAAATGTATATAACTTTTGAACAATATTGAAGAAGTTGGCTGCCTCAAACGAGGATTTTCCCACATCATTTACAACCAAATTTAGCGAATGGCTGCTGCATGGAACATAAAATGCTCTGAGGTTTATATTTCTGATTCTTGTTTGTACTCCCGATTTTTCTCCTTTCATATTGGAACCATTGTCATACCATACCCTTGACCGCGCATGTTTTTTACTTTAAGCCTATTTTTCTCTAGCTATTCTAGTAAAACCTCCGACAATTCCTTAGCTGTTGATCTCTTAATGGGTAGAAAACCCAAAAAATGTTCGTTGATATTAACTTGAACTTCAGACTCTGATTCCTATATGGAGACAAATCTTACCACAAATGTAATTTGTTCTACTTTACTTGCATAGGGAGTACAGTCAAGAATCATGGAATAATACTTGGCCTTTTGAACTTGCTCAATGATGTGGTGCTTTATGTTGTCATGCCCTAGATATGTAGCTTTGATTTCTTCTTTTTTGAGGACTCTGCGAACGTGTTCCTCCATTTTTGGATCAAACTCAGCCAATAACTGAATTAACTTCAAAAAGTTTCCATTATTGTGTTTATACAGTTTATCACTTGTTCCTCGAAAAGCTAGAGAGCTCTCACATAGCATTTTAACGACTGATATAATGCGTAAAAGAGCTTCAGACCAGTGATTTATCTCAGAATTAATGAGTCTCTGAGAAACTGTTGTTTCACCTATTTTCAATCTTTGCTTCAATTCGAGCCATGATTTTAAACAATCTATATGAGTTTTAGCATTTTCATGTTGTGCTAAAGAGTCCCCTAAATGCTTCCAGCCTTTAAATCTTCGATTGTCAAGAGCGCTCAGGCTAGATGGTGCAGCAAAAAGTCGACATGGAAAACAGTACAAAGCGTTTTGAAATACGGAATATACCTCTTCTTCATTTCTAAGCCTTTTCTTGTAATGTTTTGGTGATAATCTTCTATGTTGATCATTAAAAGGAAAATCAAAATTATACAAAGGTGCAGCTGGACCACGTTTAACCAAAAAACTATATCTGCTGCACGCATGATTTCGGGCCATAATCCTGGGTCAGAAGAGATACTTTGGACGGTAGCCTTTTCTAAATGTTTCTCTGAGGTCTGCACAACTTGCGAATTTTGATTTTTGGAACTGCATCACTACTCGCCAAACTCGTTTGAGATGACTTACCCAGCTCAGTAATGCTGACGGTTGCGTCCAAAGGGGGGTCCATATCCGGAAAGTCAGTATCTAGGTGCTGGGCGTTGTTCAAATGTTGGTCGGTAGTGGGAGCGTTGAAACTACCTTCTTTTAAGAAGATCTGCAGCGCTTCTGACTGTTTTTGAAGCTGTGTTTACTTGTTCAATCTCCGCTTTTTAAATTCGCTCCCAGAGAGTTTTCTCTTTTCTCTTGGTATTATGGAGGGGTGGAGGGGCTAAGCCTCCCAGACCCCAACTCCACCTCCAATGGTTATCATCATACTCATATTATCTTTCTAAATTACAATTTCATGGTATGCTTAAATATTGATTTTTTTTTAAATTTCAACTCATGACAGTCCCAATGGTTAGAAAATCGTACCAATTATTATATATTTATTATAACAACTTCTTTACAGTACATAGATATGGCACTTAACCAATGACAGCAATTATTTTGTTTCAGATTATTTATTTTATCATTCCTAATACCCAGAGGATGGCTATTATATATCTGCAGTGCCGTTTTAGGTATTGGTGCAGCCATGATATGGACTGGACAAGGGAACTATTTGACCCTTAATTCTACGAAAGCACACATTTCTAGAAATTCTGGAATATTTTGGGCGATGCTTCAGTTGAGGTATCTAATTTTTTTTATTAGGCAAATATTCAGTGGTTATCACCAAATGGAAATTTACTCTACATGTAACGTATAACAGTGACGGCTTCTCAGGGATAACCGGGTAGGCGCCTAACCAAAATAATTACTCACTACCCACATAGGTCTCTCCAAGTTCAATGTGTAGATACGAGTATATATCTAATTTTCGACTTCCGACTAGGATATCCAGATATCCGATATTTTTAGTTCCAATTCATCCGATTTGAGTTTGAATCCTCAGCAGTTAAACTTTCTGAGCCAGTAATTCCAGAATAATAAATGATTCATGTATTGTTCATATTAAACAAATTATTCAATCAAGTAACTTTTGAAATGAATTAGGAGAGTCATTCTGCTCGTGAAAACTATATTTTTTTTGAATTATCATAGATCGTTATCATAACCAGCAACATGTTTAAGTAGGTTTTTTTTTAACCATAGTACTATTAATAATAGCCTAACTTTACATAACTTATTGATTGATTAATTATGTATATCGATATCGGCCTTTTTCGTATTTTGTTTCATTTTCTAAATAACATTCTCTGTTATCAAGATTGATGAAATTGCATATTATCTCACCTCACATTACTGGGAATCAATTAAAAAATAAACATTTTGAATTATAACAAACTAGTTCAGAATCAGAGAATCACACTTGATCAGCTGTATAGGTTGTTATAATCCCGCGACGTGTTATTGGAAAATGGGTTCGTCAACTGTACTTGAGAACTGAAATCGGCGATTTATTTCTTCTGTTTGAACCAAAACAAACCCCATCGGTGGTCAGGATTATGTTATGTTGGTAATGGGGTATTAATACACTGCGACCTGAAAGATCTATTGTGCCCCTTCTGTAGCTAATGCAGCAAGGAAATGTCTCAATGCCTATAACGACCCTTTCAATCCTATCTTCTCAAGGAGGCTTAATGGGGCCTAATACTTTGCATTAGTTTATGTTGGCGTCATCTCTTGGCTAACTAGCCAACTAAGACAGAATGTGGAGAATTGTATAATTAATGAAATCTGTTTTCGCGTTTTCTGATATCAAATGTAATTTTACTTTTTAAGGTAGATGACATTAATAATCAAAAATGAAGTAGATTTCAACCATATTTCAACTACAATATTTAATTTTGATTAGTACATTTTAGTAGATTTCTGTCAATATTTTTAGCAGGTTTCAGTATATTTCTGTTATTCTACTTAGTAGATTTCGTAGTACCCTCAAAAAAGGAGGTAATCATTTTCGTTTACTACTGCCCTCCAAAAATCAAAAGCAAAACCCAGGAGCCGTCACTGTCGTATAACGGTCCATTTTCGCTATTACTAAATCTAAATCGCATTTTAAGCAATCGTTCTAACAATTCTTTTGCAGTCTGTTTATTGGAAATACGTTCGTCTATTTTGCTTTTAAAGGACAGACGGAAATTAAGAAAAGCACCAGAAATGTCGTTATAATAACTTTGTCGGCCATCGGCGTTGTTGGTTTGGCTGTTTTGCTGTTGCTACCTAGAGCGACTAAGGAAAAAGAAGAAGACGAGGAAGAACAAGAAGTCAAACCGGAAGGACCGTTGCAAGCTCTAGTTGGTGCTATAAGACTATTTTGTACCGGGAATATGTTGCTGCTCAGTCTAACGTTTTTGTATACAGGTAAGAAATGTGAGAAAATTGAAATATGCATAATTAGAAATTTGACAATACAACTCCAATTCCTCCTATGAAATTAAGAAATATATCACCAAAATGAAAAAAGCAGGAGAAAAATGTAAAACTGAAAAATGAAGAAAAATGAGCCAGAGATTAAACCTGGAGTATAGGCCTCGGCGTCTCCACCAATTGGACTACCGAAGCACATAGCTACGATAGTTGAATTTGTAGATTTGAAGTCATCAGATTTTGACTCTCGCTGGCACACACGCATTATCCTTCCCCTTCTCAGCTTTCTTAATTCTCCTTAAAGCCAACCATGCAACATCGTATAGAATGACGCAAAGCTTAGCTTATACTAGAACAAATTCTAAGATTCTTCATTTATTTGCCAGTGATATTTTTTGATATTAAAATTTGTGCAGCTAATTTTAGATGACATACATGACTGAATCAAATTTCCTATTTACATTTTTAGTAATTTTCAAACTGGGATACAGTTTTCGATTATGGTTCTCAATTATGAAATTCTTTGGCATTCTCTCAAATGCAAAAAAGGCATTTCGAAATCTAGCATTCAAAATAACAATTAATTATTCAATGTTTTGTTAAATCCCATGACAAAAAATTAAAATTTTGTATAGCAGGAGCAGTTGTTGGAAAGGCGTTTAATAGGTAGAGAGGGGGTAAACGTCAAACCACGTCGGACGACTTCGAGTGTTTCGCGGTAATGTTTATCTGGCAGTGATATTTCATAGAATAAGTAATTTAACATTTTTACTGGCGGAACCAGACAATCTCATGTATTTATGGATTATAAATAATTATTAAACATGTATTATAATATCCCAAATCATAATTCAACAGCTATTTACACTTTATTAAACTATTTACCCCATTGTTATTAACATCTATAAAATAATTGTGTACGCCAATGTATCACGTCCACTACGGTTAGGTCCGCTGCAAACCTGTCAATTTCTGTATATGAAGAGGGAGAATTGTGAAAAGCCTTTCCAACTTCTGCTTCTTCAATAATTTCGGATATACAAGCCATTACTTCTTTATCTTAAATTAAAAAAGGAAGACCACACGTATTCTATATATTATACAGGGTTCCTACTATTGCTACTTCTTAAACGGTAACAGATAGAAAGTTGGTTAAATCAGACAAAAGTTGCGCGGTTTTGTGCTCATTAAAATCGTGCAAAGAAACCTTTGATATCTACAGGGAGATTTAAAATATCGGACAAAAAATGAATGAATTTAAAGAAATCACAATTTGAATTTTTTGTCCGTTATTTTAATTTCCTGTAGATATCAAAGGTTTCTTGGCACCATTTTAATGAGCACAAAACTGCGTAACTTTTATTTTGTGAAGTAATACCTGTCGAAACCATAACCAACCCTCCACCAAATGAAAGTCTCTTGTCAATACAAACTTCTCCATATTCTTCAACGTCCGTCTGATCTAGTGAGGCAAAAACGCTACTCATCTAAACCAGTACTTCGTTCCAGTTATCATTCAAGTGATTTCGAGCAAAAGCCTACCTTGCTATTCGGTGACGACGGTGCAATGATGGCCTTGTAACCATCCTTCTAACAGACAATCCATTAACACAAAGCCTCTTCTAACCGTCCATTCGTTAACATTAACACCTCAAACCTCTTGAAGCTGATTTTGCAGCAAAACCGTAGAATATGTTCTATTTCGCAAACTTAAGGTCACTGAAAATCGATCATCTCTTTGGTTCCTAGCCAGAGATAACATCAGATGTAACTACAAACAAATATCGTACGGTCGTGAATAAGACATATTCTAAGAGACACAAGAGGGTATATTATCCGCTATTGTCATATGCCTATTTGATTATTCTAGTTTTGTTTACAAAATTATTTACATATATTGAAAAAGCTATTTTATTGCAACTGAACACAAAAAATGTTGAAGTTATATCTTTAACTAAATTAGATGTAATTTTACTAAATTGGATGTAGAAAATTTTATTAAATTCCAAAACCTAGTCATGTTAGGTTGGAAGTAGCAACAGGCATGGATATTTACGTTGTTTATTGTAAGCGCAGAGCGGCTTACATATTTATATATTGATAAAAAAAATTGTATCTGCGTAAAATTATTCTCTTTATCCCCTCTCTTACTTGTCATTTTTCGTCTCCTCGCCGCGGACCTACAAATAGAGCGTATTGATTGTAGAATTAATCTTGGCATCGTGAATATTATATTTTATCAATGAATGGTTATACCTCTGTTCCTGGCCCTTTTTTGCGCAGATCCTGGCCGTTTGGTTATAAGGCCCGTCTCCAGATAGCGCTGGTACACATTTTTTACACAACAATTTTTGCGGTTTCACGTTTTCCTCGACCATCTTGTATCAACGCAACAATTCGTGCTACAACAATAGGATCCACAGGCATTATTGTCTGCTAAATAAACCCTACGAACTAAACCGTATAACAGACAGGTTTTAGAAATATAAATATAAACACTTAACTGAGAAATAAGCAGCGAAATATGAAATTTTAATTCGGTCGATTTTTTTATTGATTTAAAAAAGGTTTTGTTGGAAACTTTTGTTCGAAGCACGTTTGTTCAAAAACCCTTAGTTCGAATATATGTTTGTTCAAAAAACCTTAATTCGAAAATACTTTTAATCGAAAACGTTATGTTCAAATATAGTTTTCTTCGAAAAATAATATTTCGAACAATACAAAAATTTGGTTGAACCTAAATGTAAAATATACTAAAAATAATAGAATAATTTTCCTAGTGTTCCAATTAAGACTAAAAAAACTAAACTAAGTTACCTAACATCGCGAGTTGCTTCGCAAAAAATATATACATAAAATAAGAAAAATTAAACAAATATTAACTAATTAACCTAATCTGTGCGGCCTGGAGTCATCGCGGGGTGCTTCGCGTAAAAATTACTTATACATAAAATAAAAAAAAACTCGAGCTACACTTTATCGAACAGAACAATTTTCGAATTGAGGTTTTTCGAACAAAAGTATTTTCAAACTAAGGTTTTTCAAAGAAACTTATTTTCGAACTAAGAATTTTCAAACAAACATATTTCGAACAAACTTCCGCCAACCTTAAAAAGACGAAATTACGGTGACAATACTTAACAGATAACAAATATGGCGATACTAACGATCCGAGTAACGATCAAGAAACAAATTAATCGCCGCCTGCTAGCCAGTGATTCCTTGATTAATTTTATTTTTTAAATTATTTGTAATTTCTTAAGTGACCTAAATTTTTGCTCGCCAGTGTAGATTAACAGTTTAAGTTGTATACCTAATTGCAAAACAGATCATAGAAAAAAATACTGAAGAATTTTTAATCTCTATATTTTCTTCCGGCCGGCGTCGCTATGCTATACTAACGGTATTTATACCAGTGTCCGCCTCACTCCTTCACACCCCCGAACAATTGTAGTTGACATTTCAATTAAAACTCAGTTTAAATTAAATTTCCACCTGGCATTGCTGTTTTCATAAATTCGGCCGTTTTAGTGTTTCCGAATATAATTCGGTTGTCAAGTTTAGGTGAAATGGCTCAAGAGTGTAAATGCGGTAACAGCTGAAATTTGGGGAACGAACTGGAAACGAGACAGAACGTTTCGTATTTTATGAAGAGATTTTGACATATATTTTATTGTACTTTGCAAAATAAATAGAAATGTTTAGTAATGCTGTAGTTGTTTTCAATGCAGAAAATGAATATACTTAAATAATATACGAGCCAAGGATATAATAATAATTCTGCTAGTTCACATTTTCAGTTTGGGATATATTTTAAAATAAATGTCGAAATCTTTTAAAAAATGACGTGAGAAATATACAAGGAAATTATTTAATGTTTAAAGGCCGTTTTGTGACACATCCCATAGAGATATAGGAAACATAATAATATCTACCTACCAAAACATATTCCAAATCTATGCCTAAAAACATTTAAACACGAATTTTAATTATTACACTAATAGTATGCGTCTACGGGTCAATAGCTTATGGCTTATCATCTCTATTTAAATTATTTTCTTCTTATGTAAGTAATAGACACCAGCTTGTGGTTATCAGTGGTTACAAGCATGTCGAATATTTAGCGACATCTGGTGGTCCTCAGATAAGCAATCTGAGACAACTATTATTCAATATCTTAATGACTAAGGGTTATTTGCACTATTACACTGCTAGTTGTTAAGAACTAAGCCAATTGGTTTATTTCTTAACGACTAGCCGTGCAAATGGACCATACCCAAATACATTGACTGTTTACATCATGACTGTAACACATGTTAGGTTGAAAATGACTGGGATGATCTCATCGCCTTCCACTGCGACCTAGATAGATCTATTGTGGCTTATGTCTAATTTATAGCTCACCTTACAAGCCACACCTTTTGGTGTGGTTGAATTGGGTGAGACTTGTTTAAAGTCAGTAGACTCCAGCCGGGTGAATCCAAAGATATGGAACCTCTTATCAAAGCGAAGCAGGTACATAGAATGTGCTCTGCAGAGTCGTCTTCTACGGTACAAGATTGACACTTCGACGTTTGTTGCCGACCTATCCTTCTCATTTGGTTACTTAGACGACAATATTCTGTCATCAGTCCTATTTGACTGCATAGATATTTCCCAAATAATTCCCAGATGTGAGCAGATGCGTTTATGGAAGCGTTGGATATAATCGCTTTCGAATGAGCCAGTTTATGAGTGTTGCACCCGCTGTCCATTTTGAGATAATTTATTTTGTAGTGCTCTTTGCAATGTCCAGGAATGGTTTTGGTCCTATGAACTTAGATTCGGTTCCTCTTTTAGCGAGCGCGTCGGCTTTTTCATTGCCCTCCAGTACCTCGGAACTTAGATCAAAGTAACTTTGTTTCTTGCACCGAGACATTCAAGGGTAATTATACAAACCCGTTTCGAGTCAACTCGATTGTAGTTCAGAACCTTGAGAACTGCCTGTCTATCCAAAAAAATCTTTATGGTCTTGTTGGCGGAGAGAAAGTTAATCAAATTTATTGCTCCCTATTCTGTAGCAATAATTTCTGCTTAAAAGATCGTGGCCAGACTGTCCTGGTTAATTGTGAATTGTTGGTTTCTGGCCGATAACTTCCGCTGCTACTCCTTTTTCAGTTTTGTAGCCGTCCTTGTAGAGCGCATAGTCCGCCTATAAGAGGGTTTTAACACCCTTGCTCTATACGTCTCTCTCTGGAATGAGGACGCTGTATGATTTTTTTATTTGCAGTCGAGGAACTAGCGAGTTTGGGACCATGCTGAGGATGTGGTGGTTATTAATCTCTTATTAATCTCTTAGTGCATTTCCAGCAAAATGGGTTAGATCCATCATGATCTTCAAGGCTTTTGCCGGTGTGGTTGACATTGACTTAGTGATGGCGACGCACGAAAGCCACTGGATTCCAACCAGCTTTGCTCTGGCTGTCCTTCTAATTTTTATTTTTATTATATGCGTAAAAACATTATAACACAACTTTTAATTATTACACTTACAATTATATCGAGTTTCTCCTCATGATATATCCTGAACACTTCAAACATTGTGCTTTTATTTCGCCTCTGAATTCGTTTTTAATTCCTATATTGGTTTTTAGTCTTCTTCTACCATTTTCTGTTAAATTTGGGCCTAATCTTACTCTCATTATTTTCCTTTCTGGTATTTTTAGGTATTATTTTTCTTCTTTATTTATTGTTGCTATTTCGAGGGCTTACGTAATTGTTGGTCATATTATTGGCGTCTTGTATATCTTTTTCTTAGGTTTTTTGGTGATGACTACTTTTCAGAAGATTTCTTTTATTTCGTTATTTTCCTAGTTGCATCATTGTTGCTCCTAGTTAGTTAAAGGAGGTGACTGTTTCGAATTTATGTCTCTGTGGTTTTAGGTATTCCTTCTTTCGTCTCTTCATACTTTCGTATATTTTGTTTGGTTCTGGTTTATTTTTATTCCAAGTTGTATAGTTTCTTAATACATTCTTTCTATCGCTTTTATCAGTTTTTTCTCTAATTTACTACTATTGTTAGATCGTCTGCGACAGAGTCGGTTTTACATGGGTTCTATTTAGTGATGTGGAACTGGGGGGAGGGGGTGCCCAGGGAGGACGCTAGTAACCTATTATATTAGCTTTGTTCGCGGAGCCTGTCGGCGACATGTATACGACAGATGAGCATGCGCATTTCGATTTTCGAGTCTACGAACTCTTAAAATGGAAATGCGTATGCTCATCTGTCGTGGACATGTCGCCGATAGGCTCCGCGAACAAAGCTATTGTTAATAATGAGTATAATAATATTTGTATTACTCGCAGTCTCACACTAATAAAATTTTCACGACTTCGGCTGTCTCCTGATATCTGGCAACGCTGTTAAGTTTTTTTTGTGTCTTATGGATTTTTTGAATAATTTTTTTAGTTTTCAAATTTTTGTTTTAAATTTTTTTTAATTCTAATAGAATTTTGTGTGAAATTTAGATAATTTTTTTCACGTTTTTAAGGTTTTATCGCATTGGTTTTTTTATATGGCACCCTAAATTTATTATGGCGTCCATTCATTCTCATTGCAGAATAGAAGGTATTTTCTGTTTTTATACTTACTTTTAGTTATTATATTTATGTGCGTCAGTTTGATCATAATTTTTTTGGTGTGAATGTCAATTTTTGTTTCTTTTTAGCATTTTTGAATTTTGAGGTCCTTCAGCGACCTATTTTCCTTTTTCTTGTAGAAAATATTAGGTATTTTACGTTTTTTATAGTGAATCTGATTGGATTATAATCGTAGTAAAATTGTGTTCGATAGTTTGACGAAACATTTTTGGTATATTTTTTTCATTTTTAAATTGGCCTCGATTAATATTTGTTAGGTACTTTAGTAGGTATTTTGGTTTGTTTTTTATTGTAAATTCATTTTTAAAAGCAAATTTTTGTAATTTTTCTATTCGTTTGCACCCGCTGCTCCCCCGTAGCGGACGCGTTTTACCCCTATCCAACCATTACCCTACGTCTTTTACTCCCTTCCAACCAGTACCGTACGTTATTCCCCCTCCTCTTTCCTAAAACCTAATCTATGTAAAATATATTTCGCCCTTTTGCAATTTGAACTCCTTTCGCCCTTCGTCTATATATATTTCATAATCAAGGTCAACTTTCCTAATTTTTTAGTGTTCTACCAAATTTAAATTATGAATTTTTGAGCACTGAATTCGATTTTCATTTGTTCTAATAATCAAGGTACCTAAAAGTTATTTAAAATTTTAGGATTTTACCTCTTCTATCGACACTTGATTAAATATGATTGATTGATAAATTAGGTCTAAATTAGTACAATTGAACGTTAGTTAAATAATATTTGACTAAATTATGTTATTTTTGTTTGTGTATTAGTTTTATAGCTGTTTTTTACTTTTTGATGTTTTACTAATATGTTATTATTAATTTCTTTATTTAGCTTTGCTAATACAAAAATAGTACAGTTTTTAAAACAATAAGTATAGTTTATACATTATGTATAGTGTCTAAAAATGAACAGGAAAAAAAAAACATAAATTATTAGTGTCTAACTATAAAATATATATATATATATATATATATATATATATATATATATATATATATATATATATATATATACATGTAAAATATAAAATTAAATTTATATCTACAATTAAAATCTCTCTATATCTACAATTAAAAAATTTTTTTTTTATTTATACCCTTTGTGTCATCATAATATAGTTCTTAAGTTTACATTTAAAATTATTTAATGAGGTAGCATTTTTAATTTCAACTGGTAATTCATTGTAAGCCTGCAGACCCCTGTTGTGAAGTTATAAGTACCTATAATGATATTAGATTTTGTAATTTTGATTTTATTTATATAATATACAAATTCAATAATCTCTAATGTATAAATTACTAATAGGTAGGGACGATGGTTACAAGTAACACCAGGCGCAAAAGTACCTTCAACCGGCACTGATCTCCAGTTATTAATAATAATCAAATATTGACATTATTTGCCTTCGTCATTGCTGATAATATACAAACAATGTAATTACGATAAAGATTTTGTGTATTTAATAAGTAAAATAAAATTGGTATTTATAAAAAACAATCGTCTTAGAAGGTGTTGTATAAAACTGGCTTCTGTTATCAAATTCTAATACCTACTACATTTTTATTTATGCAACCTGTAAATTACAGGACAGGAGTAGGCAAAAATGTAAACAACACTGAATTGTATATGAATGTATAAATATGGCGTAGTTGTCAGCAGGGACGTCTCAGGGGTATTCGGTGCCCATTGACCATATTCATAAATTATATAGAAAAAAATTGATAGATAAGGATTTAAAGTATTGGAATCTCGTAAATAGGTAGATTACGTTACATTGGATACAAGTTGACTACTGAGAGGATCGATAATATGGTACGTAAAGGCAAGTGTATTACCATTTGGTACGACTTCTGTTTGTGAGACAGCTTCTTTATTTGTTTTCCGGTTATTTTCTTAATTTTTCCTTAACAACATGAACAGAGAAATTCCGGATAAATTATTAGTAGGATAGAGTAAGATTTTGGATGAAATTCTTCTCGAAAAACCAAACTGTCACAGATCGACAAAAATAGCTTTTTAAATAAAAGTATTTGGTTTTTCTCATTTTAATAATATGGATTTTCATTTAGTAAAGGCCGAAACAATCAAGAAATAGCTGACGTCTCCAATGTATTATATTTAGTAAATAAAATTCGGAGAGCATATTTCATTCCGCTTCTTGCTTGCTCGAGGAAATCATTCTTTGCTAACTTTGGCCCATCTCGCGTCATTTTAATACATTTTATAGGAACCTCCTGAAACGTTAATAAATCGAAAGAGAAATTCTTTCCGAGTTTTTTAATTACTTATATGGACTATACTATCCGTTATATATTTTTTGCCAATTTTGAGCCCGAGTCTATATTTACAAAATTTAACTATTTTTTTATTTGGAGTTTGTACACTTTGAAAGTAGGTACCATATGGAGACTGAACACTTGGCATAACTAATTAGTCGCTTTATTAGAAGCTGCAATCTAGTGGAGATTGTAAAAAGCATACGTTATTGTACGTTTTGCTACAAACTGATACTGTATTCGAATTCAGCGAGAAAATTATAGAAAAAAAAACAACGAACCCAAATTTTCCAAATTGGAGATTGTATGCTTTGAAACTAGACTTAAATTATCTCAGTACCAGCTGAAGTACCAGTTGGATGTTGAATTTGAAACTATATTTATTTTCAAAATTTATAAATATATGTTCCTATATTTGTTACAGGATTGGAATTAGGATTTTTCAGTGGCGTTTACAGTTCTTGCATCGGATTTACGCAAGCCTTCGAAGATCGTAAAGAACTAGTCGGTGTTTCTGGAATATTTATTGGACTTGGCGAAGTACTTGGTAAGAATGTCGATTCAAATTACTTTCATAAGAAGTAGAATACATTTTTTTGTATAACTGTCATTAAATGTGACACTTTTAAGGATAGCATGTTTTAAAAGTTGACGTTTACAAAGTTCGTCTTAACATTATAAACATTTTTCACGCTAATCATAAATTAAGTTTTTAATCTTCACGTAAGTAGGCAAAACAATATGTCACAACATGTCTAACAAACATTGTAGTTAAATTTTTATTTGTTAATATGTGAAAGTAGAAAAAATATTGTGTGTAATTCGAGCGGAAATCTATTTGCCGCTATATCTGGCGCGTCGCTCTGCAATTTTCTATATCATGCGCTAAAGTAGCACTTTCTGCTCCTAATACACAAATTGCTATTATCATCATAGCCTCGTTGTGGCTTTTCTCCAAATAATGTACTTGCATAATATGTATTTATTTATTTATTTATTTTTTAGGGGGTGGATTGTTTGGCATCTTAGGCAACAAAACTGTGAAATGGGGTAGAGACCCAATCGTAGCAGCTGGCTTCATCTTACACGCAGTGAGCTTTTTCCTGATTTTCCTAAATTTACCCAATGCATCGCCATTTTCTGAAACCGCAGACAGCGCGTACATAACTAGCAACTCCATATTGGCTATATTCTGCTCGTTTTTACTTGGACTTGGAGATTCCTTCTACAATACTCAAATTTATTCTTTGTTGGGATCAGTGTACGCCGATAGGAGCGCTCCAGCTTTTGCTATTTTCAAGTTTACACAGGTAATATTTTTGTATATGGAGTGATACATATTATGTATATAAAGTACGCCTTGTTTTACGCATGTCTGAATGTCAGTTTGGATTTAATTTAGAGCCGTACGTAGTTATTACTGACATGACTCGTAAAAGCAATTAATTAATGTTTACTTTAATGGAAACCAATTTGTTTTTGAATAATACAACCAGTAGGTGCATAAATAAAATACCTATTTTCGTAACGAGTGCGCAAAGTGTTACTTTTCCGCATGCAAATCAAGTTAAACTAACGACGCGAAGTTCAAAGAATGTGTCAAAGTCGACAAGTGCACTTATTGTTGCTTGACAATGACAATATTGCAATTATTTATCTTTATACAAGGTACTTAAAAAATATTTGTTTTATTTTTGTTTTAAAGGATATACAAATATCAGGAATTACGATTAAAAGGTAAAAGAAAATACGCTTTTCACTTTGCATAAAATAATGTACAGCTACTAAAATAAACATATATTTTTGAGTAGCTTTTCGCAAAAATCTTAAAAGTGTAACTTTGCGCAAGGAAATGCATGGGGAAAAGTACTGCTTTGCGCACGCTCGTAGGAAAAATATTTTCCACTATAGCTATATATCTGCTATCTGTCTCAATAAATACCAATAAAAGTAAACATGAGTTAGTAGTAATTGTATTTAAAATTTTGTAATTTTGACATTTCGCTTTGATATAATTGACAATGACTGGTAAAACTATTTTATAATTATGGATTGCCAAACGTGTCATAAATCATATTACGATTAATTTTACCATAAATATGTTTCATTTTAGTCTTTGGGAGCCGCAATATCCTTTTTTTACGCTGAATCCTTGGGCCTGTACGCCCAGTTGGGCATTTTAATCGCTACAGCAACCTTGGGTAGTCTTAGCTTCATCAGAGTGGAATGGATAGCCAAGAAACAAAATCCCCTACTAGCAGTTGAGCAAGATAAAAAGGGGGAAGTTAGCGAATGATGTTTATTGTAGAATGTTTTGTTAAGAACTTTTATACACTGATCAAATTTGTCATCAAGTTCAAAGAACTAATTTAAGTTATATTTATAAATAATTTTTGATATTTTTTAGTAACAATTTCATTGACTACTTATTGTTTAATCAAATATGAGATTCGTAAGAACTTTTTACAGAACAAACATGTCCAAACATACGTGACGGATGTCAGTAACAGAGCAAGTTTGAGGGTAATTTTGTGGTATATACATACAATTTTACAAAAGTAAACTTACTATTGACGATAGCTTTGTAAAGTTTAACAAATATTTATTTATATGTATATAGCTAGAGACGAAATCCTGGATATTAAAATTTTATTTGTATATTTTCTTTGTATTATTTTTATAAATTATAAATTATTATTTTTAAAATTGCTTTTGTTTTATTCTTTGTTCCAAAACCATAGAAGGAACTGAAATAGTTGTGTCTGGGCCTAGAACGAAGCACTCTGAAAGTTTGTTAAAATATGCAGGCAGAAATTCATGCCATTGAGAAGTGTATCCATTGTACAATCGAGAAAAACTATCATAGACAAGAAATTATCATCATGTCCGATATCCAAGCAGCCATCAAAGCGCTGAGCTCTTACGTAATCAGCTCAAAAATGGTCTGGAGATGCCTAGAAAAACTGAATCAGCTAGGCGAAGGAAATATAGTTACTATCACTTGGGTCCCAAAACATAACGAAGTAAAGGGTAACGAGATTACAGATAGTATCGCAAGGAAAGGGGCTCAAACACCCCTCTTTTAGGTCGCAGTGAATTAACACCCCTATCCCAACATAACATAAGTAGATGAATATGTAGTTTTGTTGTAGTAGGTTCTTTGTTTTAATGATATAATGAAGTAAGTTTTTCCTTTACTGAGATTAATACCCAGGCAACACACTTTGGTATACATTACGTATTTTTTAAGGTATTACTATACGTATGAATACGGTTGATGTACTACCCAATGTATTCGTTAAAATGTCCGCCCAATAAACGTATATTATTTATCACATGTAAAGGTCGATTACTACTAATTTATTCACCTATAATTAACCGTCTATATTATATTTGTAGTTGTAGTATATTTATACGAATACACTTTGGTACAAAAGACGTTTTTTATGTACTACGTTATACGTATGAATACCGTTGATATATCGTGTTTCTAGTTTGGCCGGAAATTACGTTATGTATAGAAAAATATTTTATTTCTCAAAATAAACAATAAAATTCTAAATGAGAAACTTAACAGGATCTTTCTTTAACAAACAGTATATATCAAAATAACTTCACTTTGATGTGTTGTTCCAGACGTGTTTAAGACAGTCTTGTGTGTCACATTTAATGGTTCGGTCTATCAAATCGCTACCATGGTTCCTTTAGTTATGCCTTATGGCTTCTACAATAGATCCGTTTTTATTAAAGGTCATATCACTGTTAAAGGAAACTTACCAAAAATAACCACCGTAACGATACAATTTTTTAATTGTTGCTTTTCACGGCCTGGTCGGTTAAATTTAATGACAACTGGGTCCCTCAGAAGGTATTTCATAATGTCCATGGTAGGTACAATTTCTTACGTTTACTCTGCCGACGCAGGCTAGGCGTATTTTCTGCAAAAAGAAATTATAATCACAGCCAGAGCTAGTTTCGACATTCTATGAAACAAAATCTACTGACGAATAAAATATGGTATGTGATTGGAATAAATAGATGGCATAAAAACCCTTATAAAAATAAGAGAAACAAAAGTTAAAAAGTAAGGTTATGTTTTAGAATTTCTGTAAGCATCTTACACACTGCACCTACCTATAAAACAGCAGTTGTTGTAAAATGCAGGAATTATTGAAGGAATAGCTAAATAAAACATTAATATAAACTTACCTATGCTTTTAATCAATATCTTTGAACACGTGTACACAAATGAGTATGGTAAAATGACCTACACAACAATGTCATAGCAGAAATACGCGCAAACGCAAGAGTAGAAATGAGAAGAGATCGTAGCCTGAGTATGCCATGTTTCATCCGCCTTATCAAATAGTTCCGTGTGTATGGGGAATTTGTTATAAATGTTACAGGTGATATAATAAAAAAATATGGATATAATATAAACAAATATATCAATAAGCTTTTAATATAAATAAACCTAAATGTATACATATTATTTACTTCTGTCTACTAGTTTATCGCCAACAGCAAATATACGTATAAGGTAAATTATATTTAAACGTATAATATACAATAACTAGTATCTGTAAACGTTTAAGAATGTAAAGTATAAAAACGTTTAAGAAATCAACCAAGACGAAATTTAAACGGGAGTTACTAACGAAAAATACATATTACAATATTACATAAATTTATACGAATTTAATTTAAATAGACTTAACGTATATTTAGGCACACTGTCTACAAATCGTTCATTGCATATTAAAAATAGTCGTATATTGGTAACTATATTTAAACGTAGAATAATTTACAATTATATACCATAGGACGTATAAAAAAACGTATATCATTTAAAAAACGGTATGTATAATAATCGTAAACAGTAAAAGTATACGGAATCAACCAATACCAAATATAAACGAGAATTACGTATAAAATACGTTAATTATACCAATGTGTGCTGCCTGGGTAGGTCTAACGCTAATATTGGATTTAGGATAAAAAATGAAACTTCTTAAAAAATTAAGAAAACAAATTAAGTCTTTAGTGTATTATAGTTGCTGAGAAAATTTTTATTCTAGATTATTTAATAGATACTGAGCAAAATGACTACGTATTTCTTTCGCAACAACTGGCGACTAGCGTCTAATAAGGAAAAAAGATGTTGCAGAGTTTTTCCTGTCTCCAAGTACCAGGGATAATATTGCCCTGATCGTCTTCTTGGTCAAAAGTTCCCTGATACGTGTAAGCAATTCTGTGATCGAAAGGTAAAAGGGCAAAGTCAGTTTTTGGTGATATTAGCTCGATCGTTAATTCAATCTCCAATCACTCTTTAAACTCCAAAACGACCCTTTCAACGTTTGTTTATTCCGATTAGTCACAGTTCAACGGTTAAGTGACAGTAACAAAATAAAAAAACTTTGCTCCTGTCCTGCTCTAACTCCTGAAAAACCTAACTCATCTAATCACCAAAAATTGACTTATGCCGTTTTACTTTTCGACCACAGATTTATTTTCTTGAGCTGGGATTATTCATAAGAAAATTATGTAGCTGTCAACAACAGTTTGTGTCTTTTCAGAACTTAGAAATATTAGTTTTCTTAGTATTCTAAAAACAGCAGATAAAAATTCCAGAAACATTTTCCACAAATCTCCTTGCTCGACTTAATCGAAAATTAAAAATTCTTTAAATTTTTTCTTTCGCATATAATCCAGAAAAAAGCTCAATCCGAGCTAGGACATAAACATCCCATCTTTAATAAGCTGCAATTCCGCATTGTTTAAACTGGCTTACAATGTAGGTAATTTTAATGTAAGCCTAACATCCATGAAACCACCGAATGTACGCAACTGCAAGACTTTTAAAGCACATCTCATAGAGGTTACAAAGTGAAGTTCGGAGAATATCACACTAGCAGTTAACAGTTTTACAGTACTTTCCCCTGAAAGTTGTTCTTAAACATATTATAGATGTTATAATGTGAATTACGAGTAGCATTAATCAGTGTGTCCACGATTGTAATAGTATATCATTTAACGAGCTTGCAGCACGAGCCGCAGGCGAGTGATGTAATTCATCAAGTGAGTTATGACCATTACAGCAAGTTGAATATTATACTTTATCTACGACTATAACAATAAATACTAAGACACAAGTATCGAGAAGGAATTATATAATTGACTAGATGATAAAAACTTTTAAATCTTTGCAAAAGCTATTACCTTTGTGGCCAGATATTTCTCATCAGGAGCTTCATTTATGAAATTATTAAGTTGTTCTGGCGTAAATGTTTTTGCCTTTTTAACTATATGTTTTTTTGATTGACGTTTAAGAAACGCACGTAATTTTGAATAATTCTGTATATTAATTCCATTATTTATGTTGAGTGTGCTTTTTAGCAAGAATTAGAAAGTCCATAGAGACGATGCTTTATATTTATTGCTAAGTTTATTAAAATATGCCAAAGGTACATTTTCTGTAAACGAGTTACACCAATCTTGAAAATTTTAGTATACACCTTTATACTTGTTTTGATGGTAATAAATTCTGTATTGCATTATCAGCTCTCTCTTATTTCTGGAGGTGTACATAATAACTCATCTTCACTATCTAAATTCATCTTTTTTAGCACTATTATTAAAAATTGATTTGAAAACGTCAAAATTATCTTGTTAAAATATCAAATGACATTACTCCCCTCAATGTAATAATTGACTGTTTCGCCTACTGGGAGGCGTTGACAATTTAATACTTTAATAGTTATTTATGCAACAAGTGCAAAAAGTTTGACAACACGTCGAGTGCAATAAACACTTTTTGCACGAGTTGCATACAATATTTTTTCTACGTTCATACAAAAACCAAAGAATGTTTTATAGAACTGCAATTGTATTATCCAAATCATAGTAGCCGTGATCGTGTACCTTTGTTTGAGGAATTTATTTACGTTTGTGTTCATAATTTGTAATGACATTTTTAATAAAATACATTTTTTTATTAATTTATTTATTAAATGATTGAAAATAATATAAAATATGCAATTGTTTTTAAAACGTAACACAGAAAATGAAAATGGACTAAATATTTGGCATTGATTTGAATATTTATGTTTGTCATGATCATAAAACGCTGTAGTGAAATGGCAGATGAGTACAATAAAATTATTACTGCACTAGTGCAATAAAGAACCAGTTTTTTCACTAAATATAGTTCAATAAAGTTTTGTTTTTTGCATGAACGTAGAGAAAATCTTTTTTCACCGTTCATGCAAAAACAAAATTTCCAAGAATTTAATGCGCACACTATTTACATACAGAATTATCGTAGGAGCCCAGCGTGAGTTATAATAACTCACTATTAAAACTCACGCTATTTGTTTATTGATACTATTAATTGCTCAAAAGCCGCTGAATAATTAATATATAAATTAATAGGAATAGATAAAAATATTTATTATAAATAAATAAATAAATAAAAAGTAATTCTTCATAATTCTTTTTCTTGTTAAAAAAATACGAAGTACTTCTATCTAAAAGTACACGCGAGTAGGAAGCATATTGTTATACCGTAAAAAAAACATAACAAACAAAATTTTGAAAATTTATTTAGGTTATTTTGTTTATTATAGTTTGAATATTCGGTAAAAAAATTAAAATTATAGCATTTTAAATTTTAAGGTATATTATTTAATTCAAGAAAATTTGAATTTTCGTCAATTTTGGATTTTAAAAAATTCATAACAATTAAAGGGTTGAAGATACGATGATGGGCGTAAGGACTTTTTTTATTCGAAATATCCTAAAGAATATAAAAAAAATTAATTCATTGCAAAAAATGTATTTTTTCTGGCTTAATTAATTTTTCGTACACTTTTATAATCAGGAAAGCCTTCCGGACATTTAAAAAAAAAAAATTACGAATTAAAACAATTTTGCAAACGAATGCGCCAGTATGCTCTGGTCTAAACGGTTCACTGGAATCTAAAACACTGAGTGATTGAACAAAAGTAGTTAAATAATATAATAAGGTACTTACATTGCAAAGGTTCATTAGAAGCTTAAACGGTGAACGATTGTAGAAAATTAATTAAAATGTAAATTTATATAACGTATGTTTCAAAGGTTCACTAGATTTTTATTAGGATGGCAAGTATACGATGCTAAAGCTAAATCGGTGAATATAAGGACGATTGCAACATTGACTAGGTAGGTATGTATATATATATACTAAAGGATAGCCGAGTTCATAGATTTCTTATCAGTAAACGCAGGTCATTTGAAATTTACAGAGATGTATAATTTCTTATAATAAAAAACGTTTTGTATAGTATATTTTTTTCTGTTAGTTTATTATTTACGCAAAGGTGATAAAAAAATATTTTTATTCGAATGTGACAAAAAACGTCGTTTTTCAGACAGAAAACATAATCGAAAAGTAGAACTTTTGTTTATACTTCATAAAGTAATTTATCGGCCATGGCCTCTTAAGTGTATAAAGTGTTGCATACCGATTAGAATTCTCGAATCTGAGGTAAATTCTTTCAATATACCATTTTTAATTTTTTTGGAATCTAATTCAGAAACGTCAAATTTGCCGCGTCTCTAATTTCTGGGGGCGTGTTCGTAATGAATCCTTCGTCACTATTCATTTTTGTAACTTTTTACACACATTTTTAAAAAAATAAGTAATTAAAGTAATTTGACATGAACACTGTAACACGAAATTGTTCAATTATTGTTACCATAGCTTAATTTTAATATCTAAGCACATTCGAACAAAAACAATGTATGAAACACGTCCTTGTAACATAAACTTCTATTCTTGCAATCACATGTGGCTTGAAAATATTTTTATTTATGCTGTAATGTAACTTAAATGTAGGACAATTTATTAAAAGAGGATAAATTATGTTTTTACATAAAATGATTTTACTTTTCTACAACAGATTAAATGAACAAGATATTTACATACTTGTTTAACTACTATTAAAGAAAATGATAGGTATTTAGGTATATAGAAAAAAATATGCTAAAGTTTAAATCGTTGCACTTATTTTTATATGATTTGGACTTATTTTCTTGTTATAAATAACACAACCAATACTCGTGTATTGTATTTTTTTTTTAATTCTACAAATTTTATGCAATATTATGGATTTCCAAGTTAGGCATGTAGATTTTATAAAAAACAACTTATGGTTTTTTTATTAAGATATTCTGCTATATACTCGAGAGCATCATCAGTGATTTCTCGCAACTTTTTTTTTGGCTTGTGCTGTGCTTGAACTGGTTAGATTTCCAAGTTTACCAATCCTGTTGAAGAGAATAAACTGCTTGAATCTAATATGTTTTTTTTTTCAATATAGACGTACCATGTTGTAACCTAACCTAACTATAGATACACTTTTTATAAAATTTCAGGTGTTATAAATTGTTCTTTAGCCAATTCTGTAGTATTTACCTCAGCTTCTGAAATTTGGTTACCAATAATTAATAATAACAACAAAAAGCATAAAAATTTTATTTTTTTAACACCCTGTATTTCGAAAACGAAGCAACAATCTAAAAAATGTTATACTACATTTTCGTCTTAAAATTAGGTGAGAATTATCCTTCTTCCTTTTGCCAGAGAGGTTAGGAAACATTTCATTACCAGCAAAAAAGGAAAAATCCATTGATAAGCAACTTTACTTCTGATGGTTTAGTGGGCTTTGGTAGGTATCGTGGTTCGGAGCTTTCTTCTATGATTATCAGCATTTGCCCTCAATTAATAGTTCAAATGGGTCTGACTGGCTCCGTTCACCCCTACAATTATTTGTATGCAAACAAAGTAGGTAACGCATGGGTACTGTTAGCATAAGTGCGTTTGAGTTTATTTCTGCCAGTATGTTTTCTGTTTTCATTCATATTGTGGGATCGTAGATACATGGATGGTATTCTAATCCATAGATATTTCTAACCAGTCGTAAATTTTTACTCCGGTCACGCCCGAAAAAGTTTCAGGGCCACCCGATTATTATTAGGCAATTCGGTCGCTGGTCGCCGAATCGCTGATATCTGCGGCTGGTGAACAGCGGCTCAGCGGCATAGAAAACATTTTATACCAAATGTTAAATTTAGTACCTACTTGAAATGTATTATGGTTATTTGTTGTTTATCTCTTTAGTTCTTTATCATTAAGTATTTGGGTGAGTAGATATATTTTTAAAATTACTGCTGATATCTGTTTTCTTTTAGTTTTAAGGAACTTTGTGTGCTCTTTTTAAAACTGGCTGCTTTCTATTTTGCATTAATTTATTTTACACTGTTGCGTCTCGCGTCAATTGTCTAGTCGATTTTGTTTTATTGAGTTAGGTCAAGGTTAGGAAAACAGCAACACGTCATGTATTTATTTACTGTACATCGCTTGTATTCAGTGGCGTATCGCTACTACCGCGAAAATTACATAAAAATTAAATTTTTTGATTATGTAATTTTTTTTATAAATTTAATCAAACACCTACTTCTTCTATTATCCACTGTGCGTAGATAATCTTAAAGATTATTGGAATAAGTACCTATTCAAATTTAAAAAATGAAACAATAAGTGGAATATACAAATCTAGGGCCCATAACACTTTAGTGTCACAAAAAGTAGAAAATATTTAGAAAAAAAAAACTAGAACCATTATGAATGCCGTACAGACTAATGCTTTACAAAAAAGTGCGGATTTTTCTAACCTCTTTTTTTTCGGAGTGAAGTGTTCACCGAGAAATACAGATGTGGGTGTTTTGCAAAAAATTTGTCAACACCCAAAAATAACTAGTTGCTATAGTACATTTTCGTAAAAAAAATATAGAAAAACCAATAGGTATTTCTCGAGAAAAAATATAATCAAAAAACCATATATTATGTTGTTTGGAAAGAATGCACTACCTATTCGCTCAGTGCGAAGTTAGATATACTGGGATGCGAAGTCATGGTAGAGGAAGCAAAAGCGATACTAGCGCTAGCTGCGTACAGTTTAGGGCAGCCATACTCAACCTTTTTTCCTTCGGGCCACATTCGTATGTGTGCTATGTTAAACGGGCCGCAATATTTTTGGATGATGATCTTTTTTTAGGACATCTATCTAAAATTAGTTAGTGGGGACCTCTAATAAATAAAACACAAAACATAAATATATCCCGCTGTGTTACTGCAAAAACAAGATAACTCACATTTTTAGAGTTTCGATAAAACACTATTCAAACGTTTAAAACTGAATAAAAATCAGTAAAAGCTTCAAACCGTTTATTAACTTCAATGAAGAAGCCATTGAAAACATTGTTCATAAAGTATAAACTAATAATCTATCAATAATTGGTAAAAAAGAGAGAAAAGGCGTCACTTAGCTTATTTTAGCTCTACATACAAAACATAATTCAATGTATGTGTCACTATCTTCAGTCGAAGTTTCAGTAACATTATTGGATACAGGTAGATTGTGATAATAATGGTGAAATTCATCAGGTGTATCTGATTTTACGAAATTTTAGTAAATCTTTCTTCTTGCACTTTTTTGTAAGTATTTTCAAAACTTTGTTTCATCCTTTCATGCATCCCTCTGAATAAATACTGTGCGAATTTAGCATATAAAGCCAAATCCCCCACCCTCGCCCATTGATAAATTAAATCTATTTCTTTTGGTAGAATGTATTTAGGATAGCTGAATCTTTCGATACGTTGTCTATTAGAAAGTATGGTTAAAATTCATATTCGTCTGTTACCACTAATACTTCTATTTACGAATTTTCACATAAAGATTCGCTCGTTACATCTTGACCAATCACTCGTTCACCACGGAGATTCGAACATCACGTGTTATTATCTAGTGGTTGTTTAAGATTAGCTGTATAGCGGAAAGAAATGGTGACGTAATCATCTCGTGGATTTCGGAACCATCGAGAAAGGCCAGAGACGGCTCTAGTCATAACAAAACAAATGGCGTGGGCACAATGTTGTAATATTTCAACAAACACATTCAACAAAAATAAGTAGCGACAACCACTCCCGAAATACCGGTACGTTTTCACTGGAAATTACCGAAACCACTACACATTTTCTCGAAAATTCCAAAATCATCATCTAAAATCATGTTTGAAATCAATTCGTCGCTCACAACCCGAAATGGCGAGAAAAAAGGTCATCGTATAAAATTAAGGTAGATTTTCAGTAAAATCACCTAAATTGCATAAAATGTTTTTAAGTGATTTCCGAAATACAGGTATGTTTTGACCTTATTGGTTTCCCCTCGGTTCTGGCCTTTATCTTGTTTTGGCACTATTAAGAATCGGACTAAATATATTTAGCAAAAATAAGTTATATGCCTATTAACTGGTTTTGGTAGACATATTTATCAATTGAACACAATGATGTTATGATTATGTTTTGGTATAAATGCCACTCCATATTATTTGTCCATATTAATAATGTATTAAAATGGAGTTAATTTTTATTGGCTATCTGAATATAGACTTCTTTCACACTTGTGAAAATTCCAAAAGTGGAGCTAGCTTGTTTTTGCAGTAACCCCACAAAATTCCAAACGTTTATTTAAAAATTTGAATGCTATTTAGTATAATAGTGTTACGGACCACAAAAAAAGATTGGTGGGCCGCAGGTTGAGTATGGCTGGTTTAGGGCGATATTTTATTATTTTGTAATTTTGACATATTAAATACACGTAAACATTTTACTTTTTTCTTCAAAAAAGTAGGTAAAATCAATACGATAAGCAACCGGAGTTGCTGTGTTGAAACTTGTAAAAATACTAGCAAAAAAAATGTGAAAATTATAAAAATTTTCAGTAGCAAAGTGAAAATTAAATCAAAGAAATAAATGGATAGGTGTACAATAAGAAGAAAAATTACCTTTATTTTTGTAATAATAACAGTAATTCTGGGGGGGTGGGGGGTTGGCTCAGTGGTCAGAGTCATGACTTTGAGATCGGAAGGTCTCAGGATCGAATCCCACCGTTGGCCGGAATTTTTTCATTTAATTTAATTATTTAAAATTAATTCTGATGCCTTGGTAGGATTCCTCACTCGACCATTCACTGTTGGGTTCTAATTAACAGTGCTGTTCCTAAAGTGGCGCTGGGAAACAGTAACAAAGCCTACACAGAACACGAGGCTAATGGCCGTAGTAGTCAACGCCGATGACACCAAATTAAAAAAAAACAGTAATTCTGGAAATAGTAGACATCAGAAACTTGAAAGGTTTTAAATAAACAATAAATTATCATTTTACGATGTTCTTCAACATTCTTAAATGTTCAGCAAGGACTAGATTTCAAGATTTCTGCCTTTGATTATAATATGTAGCTGGAATGCAATTTTGTGACTTACTGATAGGAAACCAGTTTTAATCATTCATTCTGTTTTCTTTCGAACAAAAATGAGAATATAAATAACAATCCTTCTATTTATACATTTAAACTTCACGCTATTATTTAATGGTATTTTTTTATTTTGACAAAGACAACTTCTCATACATTTTCCCGTAAATACTATTTCCTGCCTATATTTTATTATTGATTTAAGGGATAAAAATATATAATAATAATAAATTAATGTTTTATTTGTTTTACAAATCCATATACTTTTATTAAAACTAACATATATACTTTTTAATTACGAATTCTATTAAAAATTGTATTGTCAGCATACGCAGAAATAGTCCATTAGTACCTAAATGAATTCGCGCTGCAATCACGCACGGAGCGAATAAAAAAATATTTTAGATTAGCCACATTTTGTTTTAAAATACCGATCAGGGCTGGTATATCTAAGGGGGTCACGACATAGACCCTTAAGTTGGCAACACTTTTCTGATGTTCGTTTGTCCTGCAGTAATAGCATTATAATTATAAAAACAGAGACAGATCTACTTTTAACGTGCACAATAATAGGTCTGTTCCAACTAGCGCGAACACTTTAATATTACCGTACAAATCATGCGCTGTATACAATTTTTGGGTAGAGCGCACGATTTGTATGGTAACATTACGGTTTTCGCGCGTGTTGGAACAAACCTATTAATGTCAATGTGGTACAAGTAGAATGAACCACTGTTTTCCTCCTAGTGGAATAAATACTAAAAACATTTTGTGCTTTTTTATATACACCAAATTATGCAATTTATTTTTATGTTATGTAAAAATTCGTTAGTAAAATTGTGCTAGAATGTGATAAGTGATCACATGGGTAGGACTCAAACACGAGCGGAAAACTAAGCTACATAAATCGCATCCTTTCTTTAAATATTATATAACACAAAATTCACATCTTTTAAGTTAATACCATAAATGGGATTAGTAAACAACCCTACATCAAAATCTCAAAAATGCCACAGTAATTAATTCATGGTATTAACTCAAAAGATGAGAATTTTGAGTTGTGTCACTTTTAAAGAAAAGATGCGAAATATAATAATGAGTCTTCAACAATACCGTATCTTACGTGATCTGGTAAAACAAGTAATTTAATGAAAATGGCCGTTATTAGTGACTTTTATGACAACTTAATTACCAGTTCTGTCGAATAGGTCAGTGACATTGTTTTAAGCTTATGAAGTTATTTATATTAAGAATTTATAAACTTGCAGTTTCAGTCACCGTTACCCATACCATTTGTTTGACGGTGCAGGTTGAATTTAAAGGTACAATTTGGGAACGCGAGAACGATGCAAGGCGACAGCGACAATCAGCAAGGCAGCAAACACTGCCGTGTTAAAAGTGCTGTTGCGTCTCTTGCATCGGTCGCGCTATCCCAAATGTGCTTCATTTAATCACATGTGATTCAGACGTAAGAGACACATTTCGGTCGCCTTACGCGGTCGCTTCTTCTGTCTCCTGTTTCGGTCTTTCTTTCCCAGATGGGACCAAAGGAAACTGCGACTGCGAACGGTAACTGCAACTGCAAGTTTATAAACCGGTCTTAGTTTTAGCCAACTGATGACATCAATTTAGTCACGTGAGATACGTGTATTATTGGAGACTCTGTAGAACGATACATATAATAAATATACCGGGTGTCCGTGCGAAAACTTCGGATTACTTTATTTCTCGTAAAATTAAGTTGGAATCTTGTAGTTTTTGGGTATTAGACGGTACAAAGGAGGCGAAATTTCACATACTTTTCATCCTAATGTCTCGTAACTTAATTCTCGTAGTTAATAAAATGTAATTCAAAAATTTTAAATTAAAATATCTTTATCTTTATCATGGATGTACTCACAAAAATGTGCCCTTTAATAATTCGTTATAATATATATGATAATATACGACATTGAAAATGTTGACGTAAGGATAGTTTAGGGCGAAGTGGGGAGGGGTTGTTAGATAAAAATTATGTGGAAATATGTCCCCCTATGGATTGTCTCATATCATTAATATCAATCATAACTTACTTGCTTTTCCATTTAAGTACACTTTGTGTAAAGATTCTTTTAATATTGAGGTTAGCGTATGTCTCTTTTATTTATATTTATGGGAAACTGTTTAAAAGTTACGAAACTTTAAATAAACCAAATAACTAAGAAAATCGGATAAAATAATCAAATTAAAATACACCATAAAAAAATGGAAAAAAAAATGATTGTGATACAATGCTGGCCCAAAAAGTATATTTGTGGGAAAAAGTTAAAAATCCTTCTTTGGCCCATCGAATATTAAAGTTAAAAGGAAAAGTTACTTTGTCATCTTATTCGTTAACACCTTGCAACAACTTCAATGTTTATTGGACTGTAAAAAGATATATATGTATAAACTAAGGCTGTCAATTCCTGACGTGATAAACGGTTAACTGGTCCGACTGATTTTGACCGGTTTCGGTTTTAATCGGGTTTTACTATTATTATAACCGGTCCGGATATCCGGTTAACCGGTCCGATTATCCGATCGACCGGTCAGATTATCCGGTTAACCGGTCATATTATCCAATTAACCGGTCCGATTATTCGGTTAATCGGTCCGATCAAACCGAGCTAGTCGAAACGGACCGCATTGACCGGATTTGGTGGTTTAACCGTAACCGTGACCAGTTAAACCCGTCACTGGTTTATCCGTTACTTTTTTTAACTGTAACCATCACCCCGGCTTAATCGTGGCAAAACACATCCACCAAATCCTTTGTTTTCAATAGAAATGGGGTCATTTTACTATTTCACCTTTGCTTACCGTGAAAACCAGGCAGTGCATGCTTGATTTTTTAAAATAGGTACTCACTAAATAAAAATTAAATTAGAATAATAGAAATACTACCAATTTTACTTGGCTAAACTTTATTTAAAATTTAAAAAAGGACACAGTCACTCACTTTCCACTGGGTGGGTAAGTACTATATTCAAGTAAAAAAAAAAACATTCAAAAATAAATTATAATTAATTACATAAAATAAGAAAGAATAACAAATACTTAATAACAAAACTGCCTATTTTTTTATTATTGAGTTTTGATCATCAACTTATCAACGTTTTCCGGCAGCAAGCAGTTTCTTTTCGCCGAAACTATGTTTCCTGCACTGGAAAACACCCGTTCACTGGAAGTTGATGTGGCTGGTACACATAAATACGGTTATACGGTCATAAACCGGTTCCGGTTAAATCGGTTACGGTTATACGTTCTTTAACGGTTTATTGGTCCTACGGTCCTACGGTTACCAGCCTTAGTATAAATTTATAAAAATGTATCCAAAGTAGGTTTTGTAAAATCACACATTTCGGAGTTTACTATTCTTCTTTTTTAAACGACAGTTTGGATTTCATTCGGAGGCGTGTAATTATTACGACATGACTCGTATTCTCTGTCTTTGTCAGCCATGGCCAACTTTAGACGTATTTTGTGTGGATCACACGTTAGTTAATATCTAATATATGTATTTTTCAGGTAAAATAGAATGGCTTGTGTCATCGAGCTAGATGCCACCGGACCATATGCACCAGGAAGGAAAGTAACTGGAAAACTTCTGTGTTTATTCAACACGTACGAATCTATACAAGGTAGATATACAAAAAATAAAAACAAGGAAAATGTTCAATTGACAATTTTTATTTTTAGGGATAAAATGTTATTTAAAAGGTGAAGAACGAGTTAGTTTTGTGGAAGGAGATACATATAGGGAATATAAAGCATGTGAAACTTTTTTGAAAAGTGAAATAGAAATTATGGAAGCATGTAAGTTCTCGAGGCGTTTGTTTATCCACATCGGACACATCTGTCCTACTACATTTACGTATATTGAATCACGTGATTAAAGATTTACAACATCTGATGCATACGATGTGGATATTCAAACGCAGCATATATCGAACATTCATTTGTCGCAGTGTACGTCTTATTATTTTTGGCAAATTCGTATCCCTCTGTAACTCGGCACTGATTTTATATTTGATACTCTTTCATTTTCCACACTCGTTTTTTTTTAACGCTTGATGAAAAGTTCTATCTGAAACTATCTGAGATTTGTCACTTAATATTTTATTTATGCTTTTAGGTACATTGCAAGCTGAAACATACAAATATCCATTTTCTTTTGATTTGCCTGCTGGGATTCCCTCAAGTTTTGAACACGCAAAGGGAAGAATTGTATACGAAGTAACTGCTGTGGTTTCTAGAGGAGCAGGAAGATTTTATCGAAACAGCCAATTGATAAATGTGTCTGTAACAGTGAACTTAAATGATATGATGCACGAAATTTCGTTGGTAAATAATTTCTCTACATAAATATACTTATATCTTTAGAATAACAGAAACAATAATTAAAGTACAAATATGATATGTATCGCCATTTTTAATTTATAAATAGAAGTTTGCTGAATTTTGTTAAAATATGAACTTATTGAATTTTTTTTCCCGATTTTAAAAATAACCATATTTTGTGTTATCGTTTTCGAGTAATTAAACGTCGAATATCTTGTTTTTGGGAACATCTAAAATAATCTACCTCAATTTACTCGAAAATTCTAAATTTTTAAACTTCCATTTTTTTAGGCACCAGTAACTTATCCGATAGAAGAAGTGATAGAATCATACTGTTGTTGTTATAGTGCGCATGTTTTTTTGGCCCTGACTTTGAAAAAAGACGCCTTTTTAGTTGGAGAAGATATTAAAATTAGTTTGGATGTTAATAATGCAGCCACTGTTGATATCATTGATGTGGTTCTAAAACTAGAATCGGTAAGAGTTTTTATAAGATTTATCACTATTTTCAGAAGTTATCATTTTACTACATACCATCTGTACATTAACATTTGAGGACGCCAAAGCAAGATGCCATGTAAAAATTTGAGTTTGATTAGAAATTTTTTTATTAGTGTTGACACTGACGCAGTTCTAATTTTAAAAGGTATAAAAATTTAAAGATAATTTCGTGAAATTCGATACCTATAAGTTTATATGTTAAATAAATATAACACCCTTTTTCAGCATACGGAAGTTACTGTTGAGCAACCACATAGAAAGCATATTACTATAGATGAAATATTCTCAAAGGGCGAAGGTGGAGTTCTAGGGAATTCGCAAAAAGTGTATGACTTATGTCTTAAAATTCCAGGATATGTAAAAGTTTTCAGTTTTAGAAAATGCAGATTAATAAGGCAGTGGTATTGTATAACGGTAAGTTTTTTATTGTCTCTCTCTATGTAGTTTATAATACGGAGTTTACTATTTACCATTATTTCATATTTGTATATGAATTCTGATATTTAATCTGCAGTACTTAAAAATTGATATTGATCAAAAGTAATATTGTATTATTTATTTATTTTATATTCACTAAGGCACTATCTTTATTAATTAATACATAACACTAATGTATATCTCTTACTACTCTATACTAATGTATAATGACAATATTTATCTTAATAACGCATTATCTAACTATAAACTTACTTATAAGTTGGGCTACTTATATAAAAATGTGGCGGATCAGACTTGTACTCGAAGATTCTAGACTTCCACCATTTTTTAGACCGAACTAAACTAATTGCCTTCGCTAAAAATTGTAATTTCGAGATGCCTCGTTAAAGGGTCTAGTACATTCCTGAATGATGATTTACTTCGACTGTTGGGTTCCATAGGCGTATTTTTAGGGGTTTCGGAGGTTGACTTATTTCATTGAATATTCTTGGGTCCAAACTAGTAGCCGTCTTATAATAGATACAATAATAAAATTTATGTGATACAGATTTGAGTTTGTATATAAATAGCGTTGTGATAAGTAAACACCCAATTAAACATCATACAGTGATCGGCATCCAGGACCGAAGAGACTTAGTTTGGTTCGCGAATATTAATAATTAATATACTTACTCTTTTAGGCAGTTATTATTTTTGGAGATTGTTATGACGATGTCAGATTGCCATGTAAAATAACACTAGCCCATGTTTCTGTTAATGTACCTAGACCCATCGGTTTACCACAGCCATCTGAAGAACCCATACGACCTTCAATTGCACGTAACTACAGAAACGTCGTTCCAGTAGCGCAGGCGCCTGTAGGTAAATAATAAAAAATAATTTGTTCTTATGACTGCTTCCATCTAGATACATGAAACAGCGATCCTAACTAGGGTTCATAATCAGAGTAATTAATTTCATTTTATTTTAAATGGACAGCATCCTCTATTTTTACCTCGTTCTAAATGTCTTAAAAATGGAAGAAAATGGTTATAAACTTCATCTCACTAGATTACCAATAAAAATACCAAATAATATAACTAAAATCCACCTAAACTTTACTTTGCGTTTCCCCTAATGCCTAGCCTAATAATTTTTTTTTATTTTAGATATTTACCCTCCACCAAACCGCCCACCATATCCTCTTGACGACTCCCATTTTCCATCACCACACCGAAGTCATGTAATGCCTCCAATGCCAACTGTGCATCTTCCGGTCAGTTATAGCGCACTACCAAGCGCTCCTCCACCGATGTCTTCTCCTAGAAGAAATCCGAGAAATTCCGCTCCACTAGCCGAAGAAGATGACGCACTGCTACCGCAAGATGGTAAGTACTGTTACTAGATCTTCACTAGCTCTTCATTACTGCTCTATCCAGATAAAACAAATATGTCCATTGGATGTCCATTCGATATACAGTTTTGGATGTCTGGACGTCCAAAAATAAGTTTTTCTGAACCTCTGACACCAATGGACGTCCAGTATAATTTAGTCCAAATTCGACTAGTACTAACGAAGTTAGTAGTTTTTGTCTTTTTTTAATGCTACTTCGCATGCTTTTGCCTTATATGTTACATCTATATGAGTTTTCACATTGAATATCGTTTACCTCGTACAAATTGGACTAACAATGTACAAAGATAGGCCACATAAAAATTTACGAAATAATTCATCTTTTTAAATATATCTTATTTTTATAACAATAAATCTATTGTGTATTAAGTCAGTAATTGTTTTACCATAAGTCACAAACGAAGAGAAAGCCAAACATTTTAGAAATCATAAATTTATTGAAAAATTACAGTTACAGTTTACTTTGCAATAATAAAATTAGAGGCAAGAAATGGTGAGGATCACTTTTCAATACGGCATATTGCCACGGATGCTACGGATTTGGCATAGAAATCAGCAAGGTCTGAATGTTTGCTTGAGAAAAAGTGGTCCATTCCTCAATAAGGGCCTACCGAAGCTTTTTGCGTGTTGTTGGAACAGGTATGCGACGTCTGACACGCCTTTTGAGCTGGTCCCAAACGTGCTCAATAGGATTAAGATCCGGGCTTAGAGAAGGCAAATCGATTTTGGGAATACCAACCTCTTCAAGGTACTGTGTTACCATCCTTGCAGGGTGTGGTGTTACCATCCTTGCAGGGTGTGGTCGCGCGTTATCCTGCATTAGCAGGAAACCATTGCTAACAAACTCAGTATATGGCATCACATGCTCTTCTAGAATCTCTGTTATGTATCGTCGTAATGTTAATACGCCTCTATCAATAATAACAAGATCTGTGTGTGCCTCAAAAGAAATTCCTGTCCAAAACATTACTGAGCCACCCCTAAAATCAACTCGATGTGACCGAGTACAGGAAGCGTAACGTTCTCCAGCTCTTCTGTAAACCTTAGTTCGGCCATCTTTTCCATGTATGCGCATTTTACACTCATCCCTGAACAGCACATTTTTCCAGTCGTCCACTGTCCAGTTCATATGTTCGCGAGCAAAAGCAAGTCTGCGTCTTTTATGTGCTGCAGTAAGCAAGGATCCTGTAGCTGGACTGCAAGCTGTCAATCCACTTACTCTTAACTTTCGCCGAACAGTAGAAGTGCTGACTGCCGTTCCATGAGCTTGCTGGAGACTGCTTTGGGGCATTCTAGCGATTTGACTTCAGTCTCGTAAAGCAGTAATGGTGAGAAAGCGATCCTGCCAGGCTGTGGTTTTTTTTAGCACCTATACCGGGTCGCCGGTGATAAGAGCCGGTCGCAAGAAACCGTTGGTGTGTTCTTTGCACAGTCGAATGACTGGCATGTAATTGTCTCGCCACATCCGGTTGACTGCTTGCTCCATTTTCCAGTAATGTTACAATCTGAATAGCTTTTCGATATTTTTCATCCATTACTAAGGATTACACTTTACGAAGACCAGTGTAGTAAAAAAATACCTTTAATACTCTTTAGTATACAAGAGAAGTTCATAAAGTTCTTAAAACAGTAAGTTTCATGAAACTTAATTGGCTGGTAAGAAAGTAATCTGATAAATTTTTTAGTTTACTCGGTTCCGAAAATTTGTTTTAAAAAATAAGAAACCTAACAAGATAGATAATTTCGTAAATTTTTTGGGTTGCCCGTTTTCTCTGACGCTCAGTGTAGACCGATCTTAAAATAAGAAAATATATTCTTCCTATAATTCATCTCCTTACAAATGAATTTAACCTCAGAATCCGACTGAGGTTGTGCGGAGAAGGGACGGCTATTATTATTTGCCATGGCGCTCCGGGCGACTTAGAGATAAAATTGATGATGTCATTTGACCTACAGGTGAGAAAAACCCAGAAAAGCCCACCCACTATCATCGAAACGGTAATGAACTGTGGTTTGTAATCTGGATATCATATCAACAGAAATTAAATTATTGCTAGTTCGACACCGATCAAATTCTTCAACGAATCATGTAAATTAATTAATAATCCACATGGTTTGGTCTAGGATCTGAATCATTTAAAGAATCATTTAAAGACCTGGGGGTTAATTTTTGAATCATTCGCCACCCTGACGTATGCGAAAACGTATACTTTTACCTAAACTGTATTTTTGACTTACTCGATTCGTTTTCGCATGCGAAATTGACGTCACTTGCAAATAGGCATTTAATAGGTTTTGCAATGACATCACGTTTATTCATCTCGGTAAAGCAGTTTCATACTAGGTTTCTATTGGTAGATCATCGAATTTTGCTGAAATAATCTACAACTCTTCATTAGGTTGATCTGTTCGCAAAATATTTATCGAAGAGCATTCAAAAATATACTTTCCTTGGCGCATGCGATAAATGTCATATGCCAATTGACGCATACTACTTTAAGCGAATGGTTTCAAAAATTAACCCCCTGGCCGCTTGACACACTGCGCTACTGAAACTAATCTGTTTTTAATGTTTCAGGTACAGAAGAGCCCACTCCTCCACCAACTTATGATGAAGCTATCTTTAATGACAGCAGTGCTACTAGAAATAAATAAAAAATCATATATAACACATTGTTCGAATGGATTAAAAAAAAAATGTAAATAATACTGTGATTTTATAAAATCTATAATATATGTGTATGTTATTTTATAATGTTTTACTTCTGTTGACTGCCATTTATTTTTGTATAATTTTTTCTATTGATGGCATATTTTATTAAATATTTTTCAAGATTATATTGTGTTTTGTTAATTGTATCCTGATTTTTTCTTGTAAGTGTTCCTCGTTTTATGTTCTTTCAATGAAAAGAACTTATGGGCAAAAGACGTTGGTTGTGTAAATTATATAGTTTAAAGTAAAAACTTTAAAAACTGGGTTTTATCTAAATCTGGTTCCTCTATTCTATACTCCCCTTGCCTGGATAAAAAGCAATACAAACTGCAACGTTTGCAACTTAAGAACTTGGCTATATTATTTGTGTATTAAGAGCAGAAAGTAGCACCTTTGAAGTTGAGGCAAAAAGTTGCCTAGCGGGGCGCGGCAATCTGTCGAAACTGCTAAAGGACTTTCTGCTCAAATTGCACACAATATTTCTTCTACGATCACACCAAAATAAAATAAATAATTTAATTTTCTTTCGTTATAATATTGTAAGTTTATGTGACATAAACCTACTCTTCGAAGAGAAAAAAATGTTTTTCTACGATCACTATCCAAAGTAGGCATTTACGTTTCGAAATACAACTAGGCATTCCAAACAAATGAATTGCCAGTGGGAAGGTTTGGTATATCTAAGGGTGGCGACATACGGTGTATTCTATCTACTTTACGTAAAATCATGAATAATGGATTACATTTAAATATTTTATGTCAAACACAATAAAAATAATATTTAAAAAACCTACCTATACATTTCTTCATAAATTGGCAGGCTTGGCGACTACTACTTCGAATAAAAATAGCGTCCAAGTTGCAAGACTGTCGCTACCCCCTTAGATATACAAGAATTTCCCACTGGCACATTGTTTGACAGGTCGTTGGAATGCCTAACTGCAAAATTGACGTTTTCGGCGAACTGACATTAAGTGACAGCTTTTGTCGTTCGCCGAGCGGAAAACTTGACAGTTTTGTTGCTCGCCTAATTTAAATTATCTGTAATATAATAATATTTATTTTTAATAAATTATTTTCAAAGTATTTGTACTTAGTTTGATGTTTTTTTTATTATTATCTAAGTTAACATTGACTCTGAATATTAACTCCGTTTTTCATGATTAACTTAGGTATAGGCAACACATTATACAATCCTTATGACAAATTTTCAGTTTTTATATATATTTCTTAAAATAATGTGATCGTAGAAAAAATCTTGTGTGTATTTTGAGCGAAAAGTTCGTTGCCGCTTTCGACAGATTACCGCACTCCGCAACACGTAGCGCTGGCAACTTTCTGTCTCGAGCGGCAAAAGTATCACTTTTCGCTCTTAATACACAAAAAGCTATTTAGTACTTATATTATGTCGGTTATTATTTATGATTTAATCATTTAATAATTATTTACGGAAAATACTGTTGGATGATTTAAAATATTAGGAAGTCAATTAAAATATTTCAGATCAGTCTAAATTTTTGTTTTAAACTACCGATTAGTAGCATATTCGCACACGGGTGGAAAGTAAATTCTTATTTATACGCATGTGATATAGGGCACTTTCCATAGGACTTATATAGTGTGATATGTGTCACTTTCCTAAGTGGTCGTAGGAAAAATTTATTTTCCTAAATTCAGTAGGTACAATCTACATAATCGCAATATCAGAGCCCTTTATATTGCAGTAGCTATTTTAAATGTTTACAAACCTTATGTTCTTTGAATTAGACGTTCCAAACAAAAGAACTGTAGGTGGGAAGGGTACGTGGTATAGCAATATTTATTTTAATAAAAACCAATAGCCAATGTACATATTTTACAGACCTATATTATGTACAGCATCGACATAGCAGAAGAGACCGATTCTGCCAGCAAGAGGAATAAACTGCGATACACGTATTGTGCTACTCCGAAGGCATATTAAGACTTAATGTTAAAAAGACCACCACAAATATCTGAAAAGTTCGAGGTGGGAAATGTGGAAGGCTTCGCCAAATCTAATCTAATCGAGTGGCAAATAAATATTTACAACAAACACGTTCAAACAAATTGACGACGGCGATAAGATAATTATCAGGCTGGTGTGAACAGCGGCACAGAAACATTTAATATTAATAACACGAAATGTTAAATTAACAACTTGCAATGTATGTTTAGTTTATTTTTTTAGTTCAGATCATTAAGTAAGTACCTAGATACATTTTTAAAATAATAGAAGATTCACATGGTTTAAGAAAAAAGTTGCTGTCTTCGCAGCTCTATTTACGAGGCATATTTAAATTCAATTTATAAAGTAACAAAAAATAATCTGAAATGAAGCAAGTTTAATGTTCATTTTTATTAATTTATTATGCTTACCTTATATAAAGAATGTAATTTCTTCTTGGAATACATACAGAGGATCATCAAAGTTCAATCGTAATTTTGAACCAACGAATTTTTGTAAAGATATAGGATGCATTAGTGATGAAGCAATTTGTGCCTTAATTATTAAATTATTTAATTTTTGAACTTTTATGTGATCTTAAATTTGAGGGGACACAATTTAAGAGTGCTTTGTTTTTAACAGAATATATTAACTAATAAAGTCTGCAGGTTTTTCAGTTTAAATCGGTAATAGCATTTTTTTTAAAAGGGTTACTAACTAGAGAATTTTTAGTACACATATCAGATTCAAAAAAATGATCACTATAGGTATTCTAAAGAGATAGCTGTGAAAATTGTCCTATGTATATAGCCCTAAAAATAATTAGGAAGAAGGTATTTTGGTTATAGATTATGTCCTATATTTTTATAATTTAATGATACGTTACCACTGATCTGTCAGTGTACGTTACCCATACAATGGACATAAGACATAACATTCTTGAAACTAGTGAAAATAGTCTTATATCGATTGTCGGAGAAGACCAAAAGCATTTCTTTGTGTTTGATTTGGGTTTGGTTTGGTCACATGCATATAAATAATATTCCTCAAATAAGTATCAAGTATACAGGGTTAACAAACCTTTGCACAATATTTTACAGATGTGTTGGGGAGGTCAAAAAAAATCTAAATACCATTTTTCTAAAAAGTAGAACAGAAAACAAAATTTAGATTGCAAAAATTTCACTACTGTCCTAAAGTAAAAATTTTTACGATTGGTAGTAATCATATAACAAATATGATAACCTTATCTCCATAAATGCATTATTCAGGCATTATTCAAGAGTGAAATTGGGACAATTTCGAAAAAAAAAATAATTATAAATGTTACTTTCTTTCAACATCTACAACATGTATGTGCAATATGGGTTTGGTAACATCCTATAAAAAAAGCTTAGTAACAAATTTTTATTTTTTCACGGTAAAAATAAAACGTTTAGAGTTTCGAAGTATTAAAATAATTTTTGAGAAATTTCCGATTATTCACTTCATTAAAAGACAATTTAATATAAATTTAAACCTCCAAAATTTTGTGTAAAATTTTACTCGTTTCCAAGCCAATCTCTTCACAAAACCAATCACTGTAATAATGTCGGTATATCCTACTATACATACTTTTAAATTACGGACTGCAACAGCTATTAATGAAACCATTTACGAAATGCTTTATTTTATGTAACGTGTTACATGCAATATTTTTTCTAATTTTGACTAAAATTTGGCTAAAATTGTGTTTTGGTTAAACATTACTGACAATTAGGCAACCAATATTACTTTCTTGTAATGTCAGTTGCATATGCATTGACAATAAGAAATCATTTTGTGTTGATTTGGACTAGAAAATAAGTAAATAGGTTGTAAGTTTAACCAAATTCTATTTTTGTAAGTCGCCCTTCTTTGATATAACTTTTTAATAATGAATATTATTGTTTTTTAAAACAAAAAGTTTATTTTTATTTGTTTTCTTCTCGCAAACTGGTGACCTAATGAATTTTTCGAAACCCCTTTCATAATGTTCAACATTATGCAACTAGTTGCGTAAAGTGAATCATTTTGACACTTACAGTGATTACAAAAAAATGTCACTTTATATGTCAAAATAAGAAAAACAATATAACTAAAAATCTCAAAATATATAATATATCAAAATCAATGTTTTTTTTTTGTTTTCTTTGCCACACAAATTATGATATGATTCATTAAAAAAATAATATAATAATAATAAGCTTTATCCAAACTATAATGAATGTTTACAACAATAACATGAAATTTTTAAATGAAATAAAGCTTTAAGCCGATAAGCATATAAATACTTATTTCGATAAAAACAACAAACAAAATTCATTTCACAAATGGATTATAACAGTCACATTAATTTATTAATCCATTTTAAATTCAAACTTTTACATTTACAGAGTAGGTATTTTAACAATTTTTGCCATTCAGATACCATGTTTTCATATTGTCCACTATGTAAATTTTAGGACGAAACTAAACGTAAGAAACAAGTGCTATGTTGTAGTTAGGACGTTTTTGCGTAGAACAGTTGTGCATGTTTGCATCATAAATATGTCTTTAACTCAAAAAATTAAATTTTGTCAGATAGGACGTTACAAATGAATGTAAAAAACAAGTGCTTTATGTTGCAGTTAGTACATTTTTGCATAGGAAAATATTTATAGATGCATGCTTTTAATCCATAAACTGAAATTTTGTTATATAGAACGTTTTAGCTTAGTAGGGCAGATTTATATGTCCCATGACGTGTACAAATAAATTCAGAGAATTTAAATGTTGTTGTCAAATATCTGCTTTGAATCACATCTCTATGTGTAGTGTAAAAAGAATGAAATAGAAAAATAATTGTTCTTTATTTTAACAATTCTGGACACTAGTTCAGTTAACGAAAGGCCCAAAAAGGGGTGTACCTAGAGTGCGTGAGCAGCGACCTAACCGTTGCACATAGTCTGCTCTAGGATCTGACGCCGTCTTTACTAAATTAATAAATGAGGAATAAAAAAACTTATTTACAGAAAATAGGTTTAATGTCAAGGTCACCATCAGACTCAATATAGGTAAAAGCTGCTAAGAAATTTATATCTTCACAAATATTGTTATCTACTCGTAATTTGTTTAACTAACAATGTTCGTATAGACCCAGGTTTATGTTTTACAATACACATTAAAAAAATATTATGGTATTACTTATTACGGTAGAGTCTGCTCGGATAAAGAAGAACATATACGTCAGCGCCGACGTCCGACGAATTATTTGCATTAGACGTTACCACGGTCATGTATCGATTCGATAAGTTGCAGAGGCTTCAGTAATTTATAGATGTTTAGTAATAGTAACTAATAATGCATACTGTGGGTCGTCAAAAATATTTCCAGTGTAATTTCATGTAGGGTACCCACCAAGAGACATTTCCAGAAATTTTACTGGCTCTTATGGAAACGTTTTAAAATAACACCATTTGATAGACTATAGAATAGAGGTGTTAAATTTTCACTTATAATATCTCTAGTGCTAAAATTATTTCCGGAAATTTTTTTCACGTGGGGTATTCGGTAAGAAAATTTTATGACAAAACCATCCAAAATCCAAAGAGGTACCTAAATTCGTAACAGGTGCTAGTTAAACACATATTTTTTTATTAGATGTATCATAGTAGGTTGTTGAATGATGAGTTTGTCTGACCAATTTCAAACCAGGTGTGTAGTCGTGTTTATTAAATATTTAATTTTTCCTATGCTCTAGGAAAATGTGGTTAATTTACTTGAGAAGGCTAGATATTACTCTAGCAATATCACAAAATTATATAGCACTAGAAAAAAGGGAAAAAATTACGTCTACTTCTGTTTAACATGGATGCAGTTATTTATTAATCAAAGATTTGATGTCAAACATTTTAATATCCCTATGCTCTAGTAAGATGAGGTTTATATACCTGAATAAGGTAGATAATATTTTATCATTATGACGCAATTATATAGTACTAGAGAAAAGCGAAAAATTGTGGGTTTAGTTTTATCGAAATTATTCTACACCACTGATTTTTATGACAGCTGTCAAGGCAGATAAATTTCCACTTATTAACTCTACAGCTAGGTAGGCCAATTTCCGAATAAATACGAAGGTTGTCATGGCAACTTTCAGAAATAATTGTATTTTATTGGCTGAAAATTATTGTCATAAAATTTTCAGTGAAATCACCGAAATTACATAAAAAAATTTTAGGTGATTTCCGAAATACGGGTACTTTTTGACCTTAATGGTTTCGCCCTCGGTATAGACCATAACCAAGTTATTGCAAGACATGAAAGAAAATCTTTTTCGTTATAAATGATGATGATTAAAATATATTAAATGTTTTAAAAAATAACCATGGAAAAAATATATATATGTGTCGCTGTACTAGATAGAATTATGTTAAAAAACCCTTTCATTTATTAAAAAAAAAAAATATCTTTTTCAGCTAAAATAAAATGGCTTGTGCCATTGAAGTACAACATAGTGGACCATTTACACCAGGAAGTACAATAACTGGAAAACTTTTATGTTTTTTTAAGAAAGCCGAATATATTAAAGGTGCAAATAAAAAAAAATATATAAAGTAATAACTAAATTCTTGATTTCGTCAATGATTTTTTAGGAATAAAATGTTATTTGAGCGGTGAAGAATTTACTCAATTTAATGTGGCCTCACATAGAAATTTCCATGGAGTTAAAACTTTTTTAAGACGAGAAATTGAAATAATGCAACCATGTAAGTTCTATAATTTATTCTTTCTCCGTCTCTGTTGCAGTTTCTTTGTTTTAAGGATAAAAAAAAGCGTTCTACCTCATTATCTCAAAAACTGGCCATGCCATAGAAAGTTAATAAACTTCTATATTTTAGTAGTGTGGAATCTTATAATTTTGAGGGATTCCTTGAAATAAAATATGTAGGGCAGCGAAAAAGTATGACAACAAGTTATTTAAAACAAATAAATAATTATGAAATTGTATGATGATGAATAGGACTGTATTCTGTATTTTTGGAGGGCATGCCAAATTTATATGACGTCAGTGTTTAGAGTATGATATATCAGAGAGAAGCTATGTTTTCCACTTTTCAAGAATACTAAAAAAGTACCGCATTACTAATGTAATACAGTCCCATTCATCACCCAAAAATACCTTGTTGCTAGACTTTTTCGTACCCTGCATGTATAGGATCAGAAAAACAATGATAATGTAATAGAGTCCCATTCATCACCCTGTGTATTGATCCCTACTTTTCATAAATGTTTAATAGATCTTAAATGTTTAACTCCATCCACCTTTGTCTACTTTATTTTTGTATTTATACTTATTTTAGGTACACTCCAATCTGGATCATACAAATATCCATTTTCATTCGAATTGCCTGTTAGGATTCCATCAAGTTTTGAACATGAAAAGGGAAAAGTTCTATACGAAATAACTGCAGAAGTTTATAGAGGAGAAGAACGAGTTTATCGCTGCACTCATATGATACAAGTGTCAGTAACGGTAAACTTAAAAGACATGGTGCACGAAATTACGATGGTAAGTATCCCTTTGCACAACATAATCAAAAAAATACTTTATTGTGTAAAAATTTACATTCTTAAAAGGTCATTCACGATGATATATGCCTCATCACATGCGGGGCTACACAGGTCTTACCAAAAACGGTCCCAAAGCCGCACACACTGAGACGACCTCACGCCACCGCACCGCTTGTAATTTTAGTGGATTCGGGTCTACTATCAGCTGTCAGCGTTTGTTATGGCGTCTTTCTATTGACACTCTAATGAACAGTGTGTTGCAATTGGTGTAGGCAATTTTCCCGATAATTTTTGATGTCAAAAAAAGAAGACCAAAAAAGAAATGGTTAAAAAATTGGTAATTACAAAAAATTCTTATGGTCACATAAATTTAATACATGATCCGCTACAAAATTAAGTCTATTGTTTCACAATATGCGGCGATATCTAGGTGATTCTTGACTTGTCTTTCGAATTTCGGATTAAAAACCAAATTGGCACTACAGAGTGGTGATTGTAAATGATATCGGCTGTTTAGAATCGCTTCTTGCTGGAGGTATTCTTTGATTTCATTTCCATCAATGAGTAATCTACCCATTTCGTGAAATTAATAATTACATTTTTTTTATTTTTTTAGGCACCAGTTACTTATCCATTAGAAGAAATACTACGATCACACTGTTGCTGTTATAGTGCACATGTTTTTTTGGCTCTGAGTTTGGAAAAAGACGCTTTTTTAGTTGGAGAAGACATTAAAATTAAATTAAATGTTAATAATGCAGCAGATGTTAATATAAGTGAGGTGGTTCTAAAACTGGAGTCGGTAAGAGTTTATATTTTATACATTTTATCATTATTGCTTGTTTACCTTTTATTTCTTGGATTTCTCTGCAGTTAAAAAATAGTTGTTTGTGTATTAATAGCGGAAAGTGATACTGCGTCAAACTGGTAAGATGTGATCGTTCAATCTCAAGGACATTCTATGGATTATAAAGAAGTAATTAGGTCCTCTTTACTGAAGAGGTCCTGGAGACGCACAGGAATGATAGTAGTGTAACAACCGGGATGCCTAAAGACCACCACTTGTCACTAAATGTAACAACCAACTAGCCTAAAACCCATTTGTAACTACTGATAGGTCTTCAACTACTGTTGTTAATGTACTATTAAGGGATTAGGGCAGCACCATCACCAGCCAAAGGGTCCTGGAGTCCAGAAGGAACATCCATTCACCAGTGGCAAATAAAAAATAATAAAAAAATTAAATTAAAGAATAAAAATTATTCCTTAGTAGCATAGTCGAGCGATTCTTGGCAACTAGTTTTAGACTCTTTTAGTCCTAAGGGAATAGAAACGATGAGGCTTCTCAAATGCTCGGAGGATTTTACTGGTTTGGAAAGGGAGGAGAGATTAATAATAAGTATTAAAACATTACCAAATGTATATTAACAATAAGTACAAAATTTGACTAATAGTCTTAAAAAAATGGATAAAATTCCATTTAGGGAATAAAGCACTATAATTACATAATAATTTATAAATATGCATAAGATAAATATGATAATTCGGGACGAAAATGTAAAATTTGCATTTATATGTAAATCAATCAATTATTATTAAACAAAACACTTTAAAATTAAGTTAAAAATATATACTCATAATTTAAAAATCGTACACAAAACTTTACTCTACACATCATATTGTTTTGGGACTTAAAGAGTCCCAAAAAAACGAGAGCTTCCGCCCTAGGCGAAAGGTCTGGAACTTAGTCCGCACTCGATTGAGAGTCTTTCTTTCTGTCTCGTCTCTATATAAACCAAAATTTACGTGATATTTGTATTTTTTTAAAATGTCACGCTCAATGTAGCCACTGACTAGATTAATGACCTGATTGTTTATTTTATTTTCATACGTGTCTTCCTTTTTAATTTTTAATTTAAAACATTAAAATACTTATTTAGAATTTTTGGTTAATTCTTTATATTTTTCAAATAATAATAATAATAATAATAATAATAATAATAATAATAATAATAATAATAATAATAATAATAATAATAATAATAATAATAATAATAATAATAATAATAATAATAATAATAATAATAATAATAATAATAATAATAATAATAATAATAATAATAATAATAATAATAATAATAATAATAATAATAATAATAATAATAATAATAATAATAATAATAATAATAATAATAATAATAATAATAATAATAATAATAATAATAATAATAATAATAATAATAATAATAATAATAATAATAATAATAATAATAATAATAATAATAATAATAATAATAATAATAATAATAATAATAATAATAATAATAATAATAATAATAATAATAATAATAATAATAATAATAATAATAATAATAATAATAATAATAATAATAATAATAATAATAATAATAATAATAATAATAATAATAATAATAATAATAATAATAATAATAATAATAATAATAATAATAATAATAATAATAATAATAATAATAATAATAATAATAATAATAATAATAATAATAATAATAATAATAATAATAATAATAATAATAATAATAATAATAATAATAATAATAATAATAATAATAATAATAATAATAATAATAATAATAATAATAATAATAATAATAATAATAATAATAATAATAATAATAATAATAATAATAATAATAATAATAATAATAATAATAATAATAATAATAATAATAATAATAATAATAATAATAATAATAATAATAATAATAATAATAATAATAATAATAATAATAATAATAATAATAATAATAATAATAATAATAATAATAATAATAATAATAATAATAATAATAATAATAATAATAATAATAATAATAATAATAATAATAATAATAATAATAATAATAATAATAATAATAATAATAATAATAATAATAATAATAATAATAATAATAATAATAATAATAATAATAATAATAATAATAATAATAATAATAATAATAATAATAATAATAATAATAATAATAATAATAATAATAATAATAATAATAATAATAATAATAATAATAATAATAATAATAATAATAATAATAATAATAATAATAATAATAATAATAATAATAATAATAATAATAATAATAATAATAATAATAATAATAATAATAATAATAATAATAATAATAATAATAATAATAATAATAATAATAATAATAATAATAATAATAATAATAATAATAATAATAATAATAATAATAATAATAATAATAATAATAATAATAATAATAATAATAATAATAATAATAATAATAATAATAATAATAATAATAATAATAATAATAATAATAATAATAATAATAATAATAATAATAATAATAATAATAATAATAATAATAATAATAATAATAATAGATAGATAGATAGATAGAATGTTTATTGACAACTTTACATACTTTTTGGTACATTTGAAGTCATGTCATCAAGTGTGAGAAAACAATAATATATGTCAATAGTATAAAATTACAATAAAATATAACACAATAATAAAAGTTACATTAAAAATACAATATTACAAATACAAAAATTTAACATTAATAACTACACAAAATATGTAAAATACATTGATAAAATTTAAAAACAGCAAAAAAGTAAATGCAATTAAAAAGATAAATGCAATTAAAAAGATAAAAGAGCAAAGAAAAAGAACAAATAACAGATAATGTATACATATATTATTTTAATTCGTTTAAAAAATCTTGAATACTATAGAAACAGTAATTTAATAAAAAGGTTTTCGTAATGTTTTTAAATTGATTGTGCGTCATGGTGTCAAAATTTGAATGCATAAAATATTTTCTAAAACAGTTATACAATGAAATGTCAAGAGTATTGTTCTTAGCCATATTAATCCTATTTCTATTAATTACAAAATCTTTGCAGTTTCTTGTGTCATAATTGTGTATATCTTCATGGCGACTTAAACTATTTATGTTTTTATGTGTTTCAGTCAATGTTTCAAGAATATAAACACAAGGGAGAGGCAGTACTTCGAGTTTTTTAAAGATAGATTGGCAAGGAGTGTTGTTAGGAGCATGATCAATTAATCTCACTGCTGCTTTTTGCAAAGAAAATACTTTATATGCGTAAGTGGAGTTACCCCACAAAAGAACGCCATAAGAGAGGTTACTGTGAAATAGTGCATAGTAAATAGATATTAGTAAATGATCTGGTATACAGTATTTTAATTGTCTAATAACAAATATTTGAGTTGCCAATTTAGAACACAGATTATTCACATGTGATATCCAGTTTAGGTTTGTATCCAAATGTATGCCTAGTAATTTAACAGGGTCCGATTTTGATGCCCATTTGTCCGAACTGAACAGCAAATGACTAGTTTTTTCATCATTTAGTTGTAATCTATTTGCTGAGAACCAGTCTCTTATCAAGCCAGAATCATGTATCTGATTGGACTTAGACAGGATCGTGGTGTCGTCGGCGAATAGAATGCAAAACTCCTTGATAGTTTCCGGAAGATCATTTATGTAAATTATGAACAAAATGGGTCCCAATATCGACCCCTGTGGCACTCCATTTGTTATAGGTAAAATGTTTGACTGTTTATTATCGCAAATCACATACTGAACTCTGTTTTTTAAGTATGAAGCAAACAGTTTCTGCTCTTTTCCTCTAATTCCGTAAAATTCCAATTTCTGTAACAAGAGATCTGTAGGGACACAATCAAAAGCTTTAGTTAAATCTGTAGGGACACAATCAAAAGCTTTAGTTAAATCGTACATAGCAGCGACAGAACTCACACCCTCATCAAGGTTTTGGACCACCTCTTCTAAGAGACTGACGAGAGCACGAATTGTGGATTTGTTTTTCCGGTAACCGAATTGACATTCCGATAATAGTGACTTTGATTCAAGATACGAAATCAGTTTCTCTTTAATAATAAATTCAAAAACCTTGTTAATAGTTGGTAAGATTGCAATAGGTCTGAAATTACCAGGCGAGTCCTTGTTACCTTTTTTGTGTAATGGTAGAATCTTAGTGATTTTTAAAAGATCTGGCCAACAGCCTTCATCTACACACTTATTAAAAAATATAGTAAGTGGAGACACTAAAAACTCTGCAGATTGTTTGATCATTTTGCTGTTTATGTTAAAGTAGTCTAAACAAGTCGAGTTACTTAATTTCATAATTGCTTGATACACATCAGCCTCTAGAATGGCACTCATGAAAAAAGAGAAAGACGGTTTTGTTAGTTTATTTAGGTAAAAAGTTGAATCATATTTAGAATTTTCTATAGACCTTAAGATTTTATTATAATAATAATAATAATAATAATAATAATAATAATAATAATAATAATAATAATAATAATAATAATAATAATAATAATAATAATAATAATAATAATAATAATAATAATAATAATAATAATAATAATAATAATAATAATAATAATAATAATAATAATAATAATAATAATAATAATAATAATAATAATAATAATAATAATAATAATAATAATAATAATAATAATAATAATAATAATAATAATAATAATAATAATAATAATAATAATAATAATAATAATAATAATAATAATAATAATAATAATAATAATAATAATAATAATAATAATAATAATAATAATAATAATAATAATAATAATAATAATAATAATAATAATAATAGATAGATATTCGTTTATTGACTATTTTACATATTATACATATATGTTTATGGTCACATTTTTAAAAAATCGTTTTCATCAGTAAAACACTAAATTAAAACAATACTAAACAACAACAAAAATACTAACACATTATTAAGACATTATGTTTAAAATCTATGGATTAACAGAAACAGAATAATCACAGAACTCTTTAACACTATAAAAGCAATTTTTTAACAGAAATTCTTTGGCCATATTTTTAAATGATTTTAGACTCATACCTTTTACATCCTTACTTCTATGTAGATTTATAAATTTATTGTATAGGTTCACATCTATTTTATTCACTTGGGTAGTCTTAATCCTAGAAAATGGAACAACCAGATTTTTTAAAAATTTGTCCGAGTTTTTATGAACATAAAGAAGTGTTTCCAGAATATAGATACAAGCTACAGGCATAATGGAATGTTTTGCAAATAGAGGTCTACAGTGAGTGCCATACGGCGCTGCATCAATTATTCGAATAGCTGCTTTTTGAATATGAAAAACTTTAATGGCTTTGGGTGAATTTCCCCATAATAGAATACCGTAGGATAACACACTATGGACCATAGCAAAATAGACCATTCTAATAATAATAATAATAATAATAATAATAATAATAATAATAATAATAATAATAATAATAATAATAATAATAATAATAATAATAATAATAATAATAATAATAATAATAATAATAATAATAATAATAATAATAATAATAATAATAATAATAATAATAATAATAATAATAATAATAATAATAATAATAATAATAATAATAATAATAATAATAATAATAATAATAATAATAATAATAATAATAATAATAATAATAATAATAATAATAATAATAATAATAATAATAATAATAATAATAATAATAATAATAATAATAATAATAATAATAATAATAATAATAATAATATTAATAGATAGAGAGATAAATTTATTGACCAACTTCATACAGCTTGTACATACAGGTCCAATTTTAAAATACAAAAGAATAGAAATTTATAAAATAACTTAAGGCATAAAATAGTTTAAGAATAAAATTGTAAAAATAGAACAATATAGATAAAATAGAACAATTAACAAAGAATAAAAATCAAATTGTATAAACGTACACAGATAAATTATACAATAATTGTAGTAAAATAATCACTATACAATACACATATACATTCTATATTGGATAAAAGGCTTATGGACTAAATTTAAAGTATTCATCTAAACTGTAAAAGCTTTTACTTATTAAAAATTCCTTGGATAAATTTCTAAATTTTTTAATTGACAAATTTTTTATGTTTTTTTGCTTATTTAGATTAAGAAACTTATTGTAAATGTTAACATCTAATTTGTTATATTCGCATGTTCTTAATCTGGACCAAAGTGGTATAAGACTATTTGCGCTTCTTGTTTCGTAGCTATGGACATCCGAGTGTGTTTGTAAATCTGTTAGTTTTTGATGAATTTCACTCAAAGTTTCTAGAATGTATACACAAGGTAGTGGAAGAATCTTGTATTTTGTAAATATTGGCCGACAATGTGTATCGCATTCAGCTGCATCAATTATGCGAACCGCAGCCTTCTGAAGTAAAAATACTTTGTGAGATGCAGCAGCATTTCCCCAAAGTATGACGCCATATTGCAAATGACTGTGTATAATGGAGAAGTATACAGTTCGTAAGATGGTTTTATCCAATATATATTGCATCTGTCTTAAGGCGAATATTTGTGAAGAGATTCTGGCACAGATATTATTTATGTGAGGAGTCCAATTAAGTCCTGCATCCAAGGTTATTCCCAATAGTTTAACTGGATCGGATTTTTTTATCAATTTGTTGGAACTGAAGGTGATAGATTGAGACTTCGAGTCATTTAATTTCAGTTCGTTGGAAGAAAACCACTTTTGGGCTGTAGTGGTGCTATTAATAATCAATTCTGGGATATTTTTATTTATAAATGTCGTATCATCAGCAAACAGAACGCTAGTCGTAAAATCGACAACATTGGGTAGATCATTTATGTAAAGTAAAAAAAATAATAATAATAATAATAATAATAATAATAATAATAATAATAATAATAATAATAATAATAATAATAATAATAATAATAATAATAATAATAATAATAATAATAATAATAATAATAATAATAATAATAATAATAATAATAATAATAATAATAATAATAATAATAATAATAATAATAATAATAATAATAATAATAATAATAATAATAATAATAATAATAATAATAATAATAATAATAATAATAATAATAATAATAATAATAATAATAATAATAATAATAATAATAATAATAATAATAATAATAATAATAATAATAATAATAATAATAATAATAATAATAATAATAATAATAATAATAATAATAATAATAATAATAATAATAATAATAATAATAATAATAATAATAATAATAATAATAATAATAATAATAATAATAATAATAATAATAATAATAATAATAATAATAATAATAATAATAATAATAATAATAATAATAATAATAATAATAATAATAATAATAATAATAATAATAATAATAATAATAATAATAATAATAATAATAATAATAATAATAATAATAATAATAATAATAATAATAATAATAATAATAATAATAATAATAATAATAATAATAATAATAATAATAATAATAATAATAATAATAATAATAATAATAATAATAATAATAATAATAATAATAATAATAATAATAATAATAATAATAATAATAATAATAATAATAATAATAATAATAATAATAATAATAATAATAATAATAATAATAATAATAATAATAATAATAATAATAATAATAATAATAATAATAATAATAATAATAATAATAATAATAATAATAATAATAATAATAATAATAATAATAATAATAATAATAATAATAATAATAATAATAATAATAATAATAATAATAATAATAATAATAATAATAATAATAATAATAATAATAATAATAATAATAATAATAATAATAATAATAATAATAATAATAATAATAATAATAATAATAATAATAATAATAATAATAATAATAATAATAATAATAATAATAATAATAATAATAATAATAATAATAATAATAATAATAATAATAATAATAATAATAATAATAATAATAATAATAATAATAATAATAATAATAATAATAATAATAAATAATAATAATAATAATGCCAATTATTACAGTAGGGAGGTCCGAAGAGTTTAAAATAAATAATTATATTAATAAAAAAATCATTACAAGTTATTTGGGAGAAAATTAATTTATGGCTATTGATTTACAATGCAGTATTAAAGCCCTCTTTCCTGAAGAGATCCTGGAGATGCACTTGGGTGATAGTAGACAGGTCCGAAAGGTTTAAAATATGTAACACCTAATAATAAAAAAAATGGACGGAAACTATTTATTTTATTCAAGTGAATTAAATTTTATTCTGAATTACATATCAATTTTTCCTTTTAGCATACAGAAGTCACTGCTACTGAACCACAAAGAAGAAAATTTGTAGCTGTAGATGACATATGTACAAAAAGTGAAAGTGGAGTGGAGGGGCGTTCGCAAAAATTGTATACCTTAGGTCTTAAAATTCCGGCGGATTTAAACCTTCCTTTTTTAAAGCAATGTAAATTAATAAGACAGTGGTACACTATAACGGTAAGTCCAACTTTATTCAAACGATATGACTTTGTTGTTTGAAACTATTGAAAATAACAATTATTCACAACCAACTGGAAGTTAATTATTTGCCCATCATGGATAAGACATAATTTAAACTACCTACATGAGAAAGACTGTAGTTATTTTGAAAAATCACAAAATATGATCTGTTAAAGAAAATTTAAATGTAGTTTTTATTATAAACAATAAAAAATTTCGATATTGTCAAAAATAAAGGTATAATTAATAAATTTGATGATGATGATGATTTTATTATGGGTTTTAGACCATGCAGAACTTTTTATGAAGAACAAATTCTACGAAAAAACTGTTTCTTTTATATAACTCTAAGATCTATGAGAATAAAATCCGGAGAGCTCAATAAACAACTAATAGGTAATTCAGGTCTTCGAATTCAACTTGCAGGGAATTTGTGTTTCTAAAGAATCTTTTAAAACCTAGATATTGAATAAATATGCCTAAGTTTCTTAATTTTCAACTGACCAAAATTGATACATGTACTTCTTTTTCAGGCAGTTATTAAATTTAACGATTGTTATGACCAAGTCAGACTACCAGGTTATGTACAACTATACCATGTTTCCATTGACGCACCCAGACCCCTCGGTTTACCGCACCCAGCTGAGGAAGACATAAGACCTAAATTAAATACTTCAAGAAACGTTATTCCAGTAGGTAAATAAAAAAACACTTTTCAACTAATTTCAGTCTTGCCTCTTAAATATCCCATTATGTTTCATATATGGCACAGAGCGTCTTTACTTTAATCAAATTTAGTGCGCATTAGTAAAGTAACCAGGGCCGTAGCCAGCCCCATGTTTCAGGGGGGCTAAGGACTACTATCGAACCAACCCTTAAAAAAATGGTAACGCACCCCCTTGGAGGTGGTATGGAAATGTGTCATGAATTACTGACCTCACTTCTATTAAAAAATTTGTAAATAATGTTTGTATTAAATTAAAATGCATATTTGTTCTATACCTATAAAATATTAAAATTGCCCGCCACTGGAAACATTTTCTTCTACCCCGTAAGCTCCGAAAATCTCTAGAAATTGTGGAGCGATGACAGAGATCAGCATTCCATTATACATTCCTGAAATTTTCCCGCTGTCTATTATTTTGAAAACGTAGTATAAGACGTGGAATGAATAGTAATGAGTGAATGCATAGAAAAGCGGTAAAATCTTCAAATTATGGCACAGTTGGCCAGAGGCTGTAGTGCCGCCACACTTCAAACGGATCACTGTGATAGCCGGGAGTCCGAAGGGTGGAACAATTTTTTGTTTGGCGGATGTGTCTAATACTCCTTTTTTTTTTGTTAAGATACCTCAACGCTAAACCTTTATTTTTAAAATATATTTGTTTTGTTATAGAAAGTGACCCTTCGGCAAATCGTCCACCATATCCTCTTGGTGATTCCTATTTTCCATCACCTCATCGTAATTACATGATACCTCCAAAACCAGACGTACACCTTCCAGCTAGTTATATCATTCGACCTAGTGCCCCGCCTTCATTGCCATCAGCGCCTTCTGCTCTGTCTCCCAGAAGATCTCCGAGAAATTCTCCTCCACCGGCAGAAACGGAAGCATTGATACTGCGAAATGGTAAGTACTGTTAAATATACCTAGATGCTACCAAATCATCTACGATTATGTTCGTTCCATATTTATAAACCATACTTGGTTGAAATCGTACTTGAAGAAAATTGTTGTTCTACCGTTCCTTTAAAAATTTAATTTACTAATTTTATTAAAAAAAGCATTTTGAAAAATTTAGAAATAGTGGAAACTCAATTGCAAAAGGCCTGACAACTATTCAAAGAGCTTAGCATAAACAGTTAAGAGAGCATCTGTTAAAATTTAAATAATAAGGTAAAGAGTGCCTTATACGATGCAACAAACTGGTTCTAGGAAATATTAAATTTTCAATCAGGCATCTAGCAACACTCAATAAGATCCAGAGACCAACTTGCCATACAACCAAAAACACTGAATGTGAAAAATTCTGAACGCGATGACAAAAAGACCAAGAACAGTTTATAAATATGGACCATAGTCATTCGACAAGGATCCTTTTTAATCACATGGAGGCTATTTGAGCATCATAAATTCTGTTAGCATATTTTTAAAAATCACATACTATCATTCAAAGTATTCCACATTCTTTTTATTGCATTTGTTCACATACACATTAATAGTCTGTTGAGTTGAGTATATTATCCAATACAGTATAATTACTCCTCTTTTACCTCCATAAACAAGTAAAAATCACTTTGAGCAGAATCAGTGGAGTAGAAAGGATGTACCAAACTACTTTTGCATTGCTGCCAAATTGTGACTAGATTTACTTTTCGCTCCTCCTTTTTTGAGATCCACCTTGCTGCTACCTTTCGGACTCCTAACTATTTTGTAGATATATTTCAAGAAATAATGCTTGTAGTGGGGTTGTTGTAAGCAAAGTGTTGTATGCAAAATGGAGATGACCTACGTAGGTAGCACAATATTTTTTGAAAGATCTTTAATTATTGAGTGACGCTTTATGATATGTTTACTTTATCAGCGATTTTTTTTATGTTATAGATATAGAACAGCCACCAACTTATTATGAAGCTATACATAGTATAAACAGTTCTAATGAATAAAATTAGTGAAAAAAAAAATCGTATTATGAAATACAGTTTTTGGATGATACAAACACGGAAGATGAAAAAATGGAAGAACAGTTTAATGGTTCGAAATGATACAAAAAACTAGTATGATGTTAATACATCTATAATATAAAATAGTATTCAATCTACCTCTCTTTACTGCTATTTTCTGTTATATATGTTTCCTAAAGATATAATTAAATTTTATTAAATGGCTTACCAACTTTTTTTGTGTTTAATTAGGTACTTATTACTTGGTTGTCTCCTTTATTTTTGGGTTTAAGGTATAAATGTGAAACTAACTGAAACATAGGCGTTAAGGAGGTCCTTTCGCCACACCTCTCGCCTCAAATGTTAAAAAAAAAAGTTATTAGATTATGACTAAAATTAATTTTTTTCTAATAGTTGAAGTCCTTATTTATCTAATACTGAACTTTTAACTATACCTTACCTTGCAAATTTTTGAGAATTTTTTTTTTAATGTGAGTATTTATACAGTGCCTCACGAGAAAGTAAGTCCTCAACAACAATTCTCGAATTATACTATTATTTATTGATTAGATGGAGTAGAAAAAAACTAAAAATAAGGTTTTTGAAATATTTAGATTTTGTTTTAGGTACAACTGAAGTACTTACTTTAAATTAAATCTAATGCAGTTTTTATGGAGCCTATTTTGTTCACTCCAACAGTAACATCAGATTACATTGATATGGATATTATGGGTATGCTTGTCATCTGTTGAAACACAGATATTTTTTTTATTGGTTGTCACTCTTAAATTCCAAATTATTTTTAAAAATTTGAACTATCATTATAAGATTTTTCTACGACCACTTCGGAAAATGACAAATATCGCACTATTCATTCCTATAGAAAGTGCACTATATCACACACCTGTGGATAAAAATCTACTTTCCGCCCATGTAAGCATGAATAAGAATTTATTTTCCGTGTCATCTGTCAAATATATCAGATGCATCATTTCTATCTCAATTTATGTTAATAATAATAAAAACTCCCAGGCCAGATATTTTGGTAAGAAATAGATATACAGTGAGCACCATAAGTCTTACCCCCCCTATCTAACTCGTTACTGGAGTCTTGTTAGGAAAATCGCCGAGACAGGTCGATTTTTGATTTCTACAATGTACATTTTTGTATGAGTATTTTACCCTTAATTTCATCCCTTACTGGAGGGGAGCAACCCTTTCGAAAAATTTAAATGGCATGGGGTGGTGAGTGATAGCTCATTTGAAAGAGGGTTTTATTCTCTATTCAACCGTGTAAAAAAATTTGAAATTTGCTTCATTAATTCTCGACTAATTGTTGTTTCAGAATAACGGAAATTAACGTAGCGAACTCATCCTTAGAATTAAAATTCGGTCCTGCATGACTGCAGGTCACTGTTAGTCTAGTTGCTTTCCTATTTTGTGAGGTTTTGTTATTTTTAAACATTAATAAATCAACATGTAATGATGCAAATTTCAAATTTTTTTTGCACGGTTGAATAGAGAATAAAACCCCCTTTCAAATGAGCTATCACTCACCACCCCATGCCATTTAAATTTTTAGAAAGGGTTTTTACCCTCCAGTAAGGGATGAAATTAAGGGTTAACTAATCATGCAAAAATGTACATTGTAGAAATTAAAAATCGACCTGTCTCGGCGATTTTCCTAACAAGACCCCAGTAACGAGTTATTTAGGGGGGGTAAGACTTAAGATGCTCACTGTATTTTAATTTTGTAGAAGCCAGTTCACAGAGCACTAAGAGAGCTTTAAGTTTTAGATATAAATTGATTTTAAATAGGTCAATATGTAAATGGCGCTGCGCTCAATAATTTTTTTCGATGGAAGGATCTTTTTTGTTTAGCGGATCTTGTAAAAAATGCATTTTTAAGCAGATTTTGTTTTATGAACTAATGATAAATCTAGCCTTTTTTGATACACCGAGTGGGTCACTCAAAACAGTTTCATCCTGTTTTTCGGTATTTAAAAAAGATCGAAAATTGGACACATTTTTACAATACAGACATCTATCATGTGTCAACCGTCTCTCTTGCACTTCTCCAACACTCTTAATTTTAAATAAGTATTGTACCATATATAAGGGGGATTCAGAAATATATCTGTACTTTACGTTACTTAAATTTTAGCGCCCTCTAGCAGGATAGAAATCTAATACGTATTATAAATTGAGACACTACCATGTGTAGTACATCATTAAAAAGATCATTTTATGGGGAATTCAGAAATATGACATTTTATTGTGACACTTTTAATTGTACCGCCCTCTGTGGGGATAAAAACTTCAACGTATTATAAAGTGTGACATCTTATTTGAAAGCATATGTTATTACTAATTCAATGCACCACATAATATTAATATAAATATTCTCAATATTGCAATTTTTGAAAATTAGTTATATTAAACATTATTGCTAAATTTATTTTGTTGCAAGTGCAATATGGAAATATTTACATTCATGTTATGTGGTGCATTGAATTAATAATTAAATTATTTTTTAAATGAAGTATCACACTTTATAAAACGTTACGGTTTTTTTATCCCGACAGAGAGCGCTAAAATTAAAAGTATCGCAATAAACAGTCATATTTCTGTTTTCCACATAAAATTAGCTTTTCTTATTTAAAATTAAGGGGTTGGAGAAGTGGTATTGAGGGGGTTAACACATGACAGTTGTCTGTATTGTAAAAATGTGTTTAATTTGGAATAAAAATTGACCTGTTTTACCATTTTCTTAAAATCTAATAAATAATGCCAAATAACAGGGTGAAACTGTTTTGAGTGGCCCACTCTGTATATCGAAAATGGCTAGATTTATTGAATTAGTTCATAGAATAAAATCTGCTTAAAAATGTATTTTTTACAAGAAAAAAATACGAAAAAAATATATATTGAGCGCAGCGCCATCTATATATTGACCTATTTAAAATTAATTTATCTCTAGAACTGAAGCTTTCTTATAACCCTACTTATAATCCAATGTTTTTAGCAACACAATTATTTAAATAGGAACTTTATTTGAGTAAATGGAATTTTTTTATTAATTTATTGAAATCTACTAAAATTTACCAAAAAAACTCTACAAATGTTGCGTTGGCTCGATATGGCTTGCTCGATGTCACATGACCAAAAAATCTACTCACTCTGCTCAAGGAGGTACATTTCAAACGTAAGTAAAGTAGCATTTAACTAGCCAAAAAAGGTGAAATTTACCAAAGAAGTAGAAATCTACTAAATCCTGGCAACGTCGGATTAAAGTCAGAGTGGCCGGTAGATTAGAGAAGTGTGGACATTGAAGAAGATAGGATTATTGATGTTTTGTTAGGTTAAAAAGTGAATATTTTAGTTATTGTAATATTTGTTTTGTTTTTAATAGGTTGAAAACCATCGATAAACATTCATTAGTTATAGTCAGCTGACTTTTGTTCACATTTATCAGATTATGCAGAAAGCTTCATTGATTTTTGTGTAACAATATTATATGAAATTTTCACTACCATTTTTCAGTTTTTATTGTAAATTTAATCATTTTCAACATTTGTCACACATGTCAAATAAAATAATATATTTTTTTAAATACCTTTTATTGGCAAATTAAACAATGGACTAAAAAAATAGGTACAATAAAAGAATGATTAAGTCAAGGTTTTAAAAATTATTTAATAGGTATATCAGTACCTCGGAGGTATGTCATTCTAGTCAATTTTTCAGTAGGGCAGACTGAATAATGTTTGGACACATTTTGTGTTCCATATTTACTTTAAATAATTATATTTTGACAAGAAATGGAGTTTTAGCCCCAATTATTGTCACAATATGTATTGTATACTAATAATGTAACTAATAAAACTTTTTTTTTAATGTACATGAATCGTTGGTTTTTATCATATTTCTATGTTCTGATAACAAATTTTCTATGACATAGTGTCATATACCCCCAACATGTCTCTGTAAATAATACGACTAGCGTGAGAGTTAAAAACATGTTTACATGGATTTGTTTAACTCATAAGTTTATTAAACATAGTGTTATACTCTTCTGTTGGTCAACTTTTATTGTGACATCACTAGTACATAGTGTAGTATATCCCTGGAAAGGTACCGATGAGCTGATTTTAAAAATATACTCTTTATAAAACTGCACCATGTCGGCATAGTTCAGTTTACCTCCCAGGTACTGATATTAGTAAATATTTAATTTAATCTTCATAATATATACACATATATATACATAACATAAACACAACTATTTAATTTCTTGAATTAATTTAGGCCAGTGCAATATTTATTTTTTAAATCGTCTTCAAAAAACTCAATTTTTTTGTAGATGCAAGCGATACCATCATTTGAGTAAAATCCTCATTGCTTACATCAGTTTGACACTGTTCATCAGTACCTCTAGCATTTATAGATATAGCATATTTATATAACTTCAAATTCATTAGGGATTATCTACAAAATAAAACAATCATTCATATAAAATTGTACTACGGTCAAAAAATTATACTTGTTCAAATAATACATGTAATAAAATTGTCATGCTTCTGAAATATTATGTAGACACTGGAACAAATAACAAAATATAAATTATAATAATTTGCAAATAAACAAACAACATAACCTCAAGAATAATAGTAAATGTTTTACCTTGGAAACGTTTTTCGGCAACAATCGTTGAATTGACACATATACTTCGGATTTATTAAAGTTGCAGTTTTACTTAAATACAATTTTTAAACAAACAAAATTTAAATTGACTTATGAGGATTTATAAATGTAGTTTGATTGGAAATGAGCTAGAATCAGATACAATAGAAAGTAGAGGCGAGTTAAACACTATTTTGCATTATTACAAGTGAACGTACTTTGAGTCGTATTTTAATTAATTTGAAGTTATTTATGATATATTTGTTGATTGACGGAATGAAAATATTTTTATATCATTCAAAAAAATGGTATTTATTCTCACCAAAACTGATTAGCTTCGTCAGCTCGAGTTTGACATGACGTAAAAATGAAATGTAAAAATGCGGACACTTTTAGATTCGTCATAGCATCTCCTCTTTATTCTATCTCAATTATTGGAAAAGTTCGTATGCCAGGGGTAGTATTCTCGAATCACGAATACCGACATTGCCAAGAACGAAAGCATCTCCATATCATGGGGCTGTCAGAATCCACACTATGCAGAGGGTGCGAACAAGAAGATGAGACCATCGAGCATATCCTTTAAGATTATTATTTATTAGAGGATTTGTGTTCGGCGAGTATCGGCCGATATAAGAAAAGCACCTCTTGACGACGTTGTCAACTACATTAAATCTGTAGGCTGGCTCACGAGCTAGGAGGTGCCTATCTTCTCAGGAGGATGCACAATGGGCCTAATGAGGCCTAAGTGCCGTGAGGTAACCCACCTTCCACACATTACAGATACAGAAAACGGTCTACGTGACATTTTTCTCATTTTGAGTAAATCAAAGTTAAAGTTAGAAAAATTATTTTTATGATAACTGGAAAGAATATCATTTTTTGTATTTCAAAATTTTGTTCAGGTTTTTGACTTTTAATATCAATTTTATAAAGTAGGAGCTCTGTCAAGAAATTAAATTAAATTAAAAATTTTGCATTACAACCACCACATTCCGTACTTTACTGGATTTATAGGTATCGTTAGAATTAAATAACGTACCTACTCATTATTCACACATCAGAAATACAGGAAAAGCAATAAAACAATGTCAAGGTAAAAATCAATTCTGGCATTACTTAATTAAATGCAAATTTATGTGAAATTTTTTACCAAATACCTCTCGAGATTAAAGTTAAAAACTGAAAATTTAACTTCTATAATAGCGGTTATTACATGTGAAAATTGTATCTTGTCATAATAATGAGAGGCCAAAAAGATGTATACATATTCGGATGTAGTTGGTAGATATATTTAAAAGCGACGGCTTGTTGTTTTGTCCTCAGTGGTAAAAGCCTAACGCCGACCCTGGCGTGGTGTTACGGTGACGACTGACGACATGAAATAAGGAGTGTGTGTGCCCATTTCGTTTTTCGATTGAGGAATTAATTATTATTTCTCTCATCTGTCCTCATTTCATTTCTCAGCCAGGCGTAAGTTATAGTATTCAGACGTCACACGATAATTATATTAGTAGCAATACTACAAACTGCAGGCTATTAGACCACACACTACACTACACATCAACATTCTTCAAACCTAAGTACCTATAGTATAGGTAGGTATCCGGATATCGGAATACCTAATAGGTACGTACCTACATGGAATATCGGGCAACTTGGTAGTTGATCGGTGAATGGAAAAGATAAACAGTAACACAAACATGTGCTTCGAAATATTGTATTTATAACCTGCGATTTATGTTATTTTATCTCTTCATTTCTTCTTCGCCACTAAGTACCTAACAAAGTAAGTACACCTACTATTTACTTGTTGATTATGTACCTACCTATGTTCCAATCGCTTTGTCTTGCTTTCCATATTCATATTGTTTTATGCAGTTTGTATGCAGATATAGGTATACCAAACGTTAAATTTCTCCACTTTGATCGAACAAAAAGTGAGGTTATATCTGTTGTTATCTGTTAATGTATTTTCAGTTTACTTACATTCTGAAATTCAGAGCCGGCGCTAGGCAGTAAGCATAGAGTGAAAAATATATTTTAACTTTTTTTGCGATATTGATATTAATGTTCTTTTTTTCATAATTTGCGTGTAGGTATAAATATTTTTCGCTTAAAATTAATTTTATCAGTTTCTCCATTAAACAACTACCTAGTTTCAGTTTGTTAATAAATTATAGTTTCTAGTGGTTTTCTTGGTATAGGTACGGTGTTGGATTTAATAAACATACTTTGTATGTATGTACCTAGTTTGGATCCTTGAGTATTTCTTTATTGATCTCATAAATAATGTTTAGCCATCTTGTTATTATTCATTTGTAAAAAGTGACAATGGTTTATGGGGTAATATTATTATTTTTTTGTATTGTTTTATAGTTAAGCAATTATTTTAAGATGTATTTTTTATTAGTTTTATTATTTATTAATATTTATTGTTACGTGTGAGGGACATACCTATCAAATTATTGTTTTCCCAGCGTTTACCAAGGTTGTAGCCATAGTTTAGTTTTTTCTGGGTTGTTATAAGGATCATTACACACTCGTCCGGTTTTTTGGGTTAATAAATTAAACGACATAGTGTTTTTGGGTTTTACATTTACTAACAGTTGTCATTTGTTATTAATCAAACGTAATTTACTCTTTTTATTATAAATTATTTATTTTTTGGGTCTTTTATTTCATTAATTGTTAGTGACTATTATAGGGTTGAAATTAATATTATTGTCGTGCCAGCAATTTTTTACCAGTCCCTCTCTGCCTTATTTATGCCTTTTTACGGCCTTAAATTTTTCCATTACCAAGAATATTTAATGTAACAAGTCACCAGTAGTAAACGTTATAAGCCTATTACCTAGATCTTTACATCAGAGCACGTTATATGACCGTGCGAGCACGTAGAGAACCGGTAACGAGCGTGTATCTTACAAAGTTTTATGATATACTGCAATTTACTTCGTTTTACAATCTAAAACCAAATAAAATTTTATCGTTTGACAAGTTTCCGATTGTGACTTAAAATGGCAGTTAAAATGTTTATGATACACTGCAATGTTATACCGTGGTAACCAACCTTTGTTTGTGGTTGTTGAGGGGGCTAATTGTTATGACTGAATTGTCAGTTGTAACCAAAGAGGTTAGAAAGGGTAGAGGTAACATAGGTAGCATTTGTCGCTGCGCGAATTTTGCCAAAACCGAAAAACTAGGTGAAAGGAGTAGGGAGATGTTCTGGACCGGACTTAAATATTTGTATTGTAGTACCAAATTTTGGTAAGTAACTAAAAGATGAAAAATTATGAAACGTTTTTTTGACTTCATTTGTTAGCACGATTCATTTATGATAAGGGCACTAACACTTTATCAATATATAGCTAGTAGCCAAGGGCCGATTCCACCGTTGTGTTAAACGAAGTTTAAATTACTAAACGAAGATTAGAATGACATTGTTAATATAAAAATGTCATTTTAATCTCCGTTTAGTAATTTAAACTTCGTTTTTTGTTAATATAAAAATGTGATTTTAATCTTCGTTTAGTATTTTAAACTTCGTTTAACACAACGGTGGAATCAGCCCTAAGTAAAAGTTTATAAAATTATTATAACAAAATAGCTATTTGTGTATTAATAGCAGAAAGTAACACTTTAGCTGTCGAGACAAAAAGTTATCGAAACAGTCAAAGTACTTTCTGCTCGAATTACATACAAGATTTGTCCTACGATAAAACCAAAATTAAATAAATAATTAAATTTTATTAGAAATCGTAATTTGTCTTTCGTTATAATATTTTAAGTTTAATTGACATAAGCCTACTCTTCGAAGAGAAAATAATTTAATCATTTAATTATTTACGGAAAATACTGTTCTATGATTTAAAATATTAGGAAGTCAATTAATAGCTATTTATGTAACCAGTTACTAAATGCCTTATTTTGTGTAACGAGTAAATATGAATGAGTTATACAAAACGGCATTTCGTCGTTTTTTCTTCAATAGTAATAATAAAAACAAGGCACATGTGCAGTGTTGCCGATCTAATTTTTGACATTACCCGCAGGAAATTAAAAAAAAAACGCTTTTACCCGTTATCCTTAAAGGAGTACGTAAAAATTTTACCCCCGGCATTTCTGGGCAGTTTTCAATAACGGTGTTCAAATATTTTAAAAATAAAACGCAATTTACAGCTTTTATTTTTTTTCTTTTTTGTTGTTAAAGGTAAGGTTAAATTTTTAAATGTGAAATATCATTCATTGCCTTGTTTTCGGTTTTTGGATTTTTTTATTTTTAGATTTTTCGTTTTTTCGACTTAAAAACCAAAAAATGCATTTTTATTTATTTTCTTTTCTTAACTGGTGACATATTTAACTTTTCGTAATCAGTTGCATCAAGTAGATCGTTTTGACACTTGCTGCGATTACAAAATATATTACTTTATATGTCAAAATAAGAAAAAATATTTTAAATTAGCCTACAATTTGTTTTAAAATACTTACCGATTAGCTATCTTTTATTTAATTCAAATTAAAACAGACAAGCGTGCACCAATTATGACAAATTATATCAAATAATATTAATTTATTATACATCGATCTCATCCTCTTGCTTTTGTCAAATATTTTTTTATTGTTTAAGCAATCTTGAATCATGAACTGTAATGTAGATAGATGCTTCTAATTTTATTAAATTACCATAGTGGTAGCTTAAGGCGTTAACGTGATTATCCAGTTTACAGAATATATTTCTATTCACTAACAAAAGCAGTATCGGCTATCGAACTTTTTCCAATAAGCTTTGCACAATTCACCCATGTGAAAACTACATTATTGCGAGCAGAAAGCGAATATTATCAGCACTGTCTGTTTATACGGCCCGGACAACGTTACAACTTACAACACGGTCGGGCCGTATAAACATCATAACAAAACATAACTGAATGACACAAGAACTTACATAGGTAATTGTAGAATTCTAACGTTAAGAAATACAAAATTTCTCGTGTAATCAACCAAAATAAAAAAATATGCTACACATTAAATTTCGAATATAATTAGCTTTCAAATGAAGTGACAAACTTTACAATAGGTAACAGTTTTCTATGCTGCTATCGAGCGTTAAAATCAAAAGTAATCCAATGAAAAATTATATTGCTGATTTCTCCTTAAAATTATCTTTACAATGACATGTCATACTTGGCACTTTCCCTATTTAACTTGCATTGGTTAGAGCAATGGTTCTTAAACTTTTTTGGTGACCTTTCTGAAAAGTGAAATATTTGACGGAGCCCTAAACACATTTCGGAAAAAAGCCCTCCTTGCTCTAGCCTCTTGTCAGGTCCCTCCCGTTTTTTTCGTTTCTTTGCGGAGTCCCTAAAAAACAAAACCGAAAATACCAAAACCTTCCTCTTCCTGATCCTCTTCCAGCCGAAAATACCAAATCATCATATACTCCTTGCTCTTCCTGGCTTCTAAAAAGAAGGTCCTCTAACCCAAAATTCGTCAAGTCCCGTTCTGTTGTAGCGATAGGTACTGCTTATTTTCTTTGCGGAGCCCCCACATAGGCTATGCGTAACCCAAGGGCTCCGCGGACCACACTTTGAGTAACGCTGGGTTAGAGTAACGGAGTGTAAGGGAATGACGTATGACAGTTAAAATGATAAGAAGATATCCTCCTTCAAACTACAATCGATCTGTCCGAGCGCTTTTTAACATTCATGATATTAATACCCAAAACCCCCAGCAAGTTTTCGTTGGGTTACCTTGTATAAAGAGAGTATTTATATTAAAAAAAATTAACTCATAAATAATAACCTTTAAACAAAATGTAAATTAAATGGATCGATCCCATATTATTATAGAGAAATACTAAATAAATAATTTTGAAAAAACTATTAAAACCAGTTGTGAAGTTTGAAACGAATAACTTGGCAATGTAATTGATATTTTTGTATTTGATTGTGTATGTTACACTTTCCACTTCCTGAAAAAAGATTCCCCATAAAACAAGAAATAATAAACAGTTTATAATAATAACCTTTATTTGCTACTTATAACTAACATGTACCAATGACCAAATCCTGTACTGTTTATTTTCAAATAAACAAATATGGCCGTCGACAAAATCTTTAAAAATTAAATAACTCACCGAAATAAATGTTAAGTTTCTTTTATCGCTGTCACACTTCGCATTTTTATTATAAATAAAGCTTTTTACAACACATCTTGGCATTTTCAACGTTAATTTCCAAAATTTAAGTCACTAAAATACCAATTTAATTCTCGTTGACACATTAAATTTGAACGAACAACATGTGATGTCCTCAACGTGATTGGTGGGTGTGAATTCCATCTAAGGATTGTATAATCTAAACACAGTTTATAGCTAAAGAATCAGTTTGGACCAGTTGGATGTTCCAAAATAACATCCACTCCAGGGATACAAATTCTGGATGCGCAGAAGAGTGCTGTTTGAATATAGGCGGTTGTCATATATTGTATTGGTTATGATTTGATTCTGTATGCGCCAGGGATACAAATCCGAGTTGCGCAGTGTATAAACTGGAACATTGAGATCAAAAGTGCCGACGCAGACTGAGCGAACTAATTATTTAGCAATAAACTGTGATCTAAGGTTGTAACTGAGCTGGCATTATTTTAAGTCACATTCGGAAACTTGTAATGATGGTGTCAAATGATAAAACGTTGTACGTTACACGCCCGTTACCTGATATTTACGTGCTCGCATGTAAAGATCTAGGTAACAAGCTTATAGGGAAAGTAAAAGTTGGAAAGGCTTTTGGTAGGTAGAGAGGGAATAAACGTCAAACCACGTCGGACCGCTTCGAGAATTTCGCAGTAATGTTTACCTACCAGTGTCGTTTCATATATTATAATATTCATGTATTATAATATTCAAATCATAATTTTACAAAATTTCAACAGCTATTCACAATTTATTAAACTATTTACTCGAAATTGTTATTAACATCTATAAAATAATTTTGTACGCCAATGTATCGCGTCCTCTTCGGTTAGATCCGCCGTAAACCTGTTTATATGTGTATAAAGTGGGAGAACTGGCAAAAGCCTTTCCAACTTTTATTTCTGTTCTATAACGTAAACTACTATTACCGGGCTAGCCCGTTATGACTCGCTTATCAACCATAAACAGAGGTTGGTCATCACGGTATTGCAATGATGTATATCATAAACTCCTTTGTGAATAGACTGTCGGAGAAAGGTAAGCGCTCGATCTGCGAAGAGTGCGAAGCGAACGCTGTAGAAGCTTGCTGGAAACGTTGTCAATCTCATCTAGTACATTCGTGAACGCCTGGAATTTTTCTAGACCATTGTAAGGCTCCGCATTTTTATATAAATAGTCCTTTTCCCATTTGAGTTTTAGTTTAAGTTAGATTTCAATTTGTAAATCGTCGACTTACTGGCAAAAGTGACCGAGTCAAATTTTATGTGATTTGAGTTAATATGACCGAGTCACTTATTAAAGACAGATCTACAAAAAAAGTCACCCAAGTCATATTTACACTGCCTGAAAAAACTAAATAAATTCAATCAATATGACTTGGCTATTTTTTATTTGGTAGATCCGGCTTTACCAAGAGATTTGGTCATATTAACTCAAATCATATAAAATTTGACTTGGTCACTTTTGGCAGTAAGACGAAATATAAAAATATTTTTAAATAAATTGGAATATAAGTGTTTAACATAATTCAATGTAGTTTTGAGTACATATAAATTAAGTTATAAAATGATTAAAGTATTTAGTGTAGATTTTCTACGTGTCTTAAAGCTCTTAAATATTAAACCAAAATATCAAACGTGTAGTGAACTTTTATTTTAACACAAATGAAGGGAGGCAGTACTACATTGTTTACTTTATAACACTGTTGTATTTTAATAGTACAATTCTTCTACTTTTTAAGTGTCAGTTTAAAATTAATTTAGATCCGCACATGACTCGTATTTCTGTCGGTATGATACATTAAAAAAAAAACTAAAATTGGTTTTCAAAGGTTTAAAAAAAATGATGATTTTTAGTTGTTATTAATGAAGATTTCCTAAAAATTTCACAAAAATCTGACAATAATCGAAAAATAAAAGTTAAAGACGTATAAAAAATATGATTTCCCTTATAACTCGCTATTTTCAGATATATTAAGATGACATGTACCATTGAATTACAAACTAGTGGACCATTTTCACCAGGAAAAACAATAAACGCCAAACTTTTGTGTTTATTTGATACATCCGAAATTATTGAAGGTATAATGAAAGATTTATCTAAGAAAATTGTTTTTATCGTCAATTTTTTAGGCATAAAATGTTCTCTGGTGGGTGAAGAACGTACCCAATTTAATGGGGAGGACGATACCAAACATGAAGGACTTGAAAGTTTTTTAAAAGATGATATTGAAATTATACAAGCAAGTAAGTTTTTGATTTTATTTAGTTTATATAGCAAAGAGAAGAAATACATAAAATAAAAATTTTTAAATAGCTTATATTACATTTTTACTAATTTAATTGCAATATTTTAAATTTATCATCGATCTCTTCGTTATTTCAAACTTCCTAAAATATCAGTTTACTATATAAAGTTTCAACTTCTGGTGCAGAACACCTGTGTCTATAACTCAACTAAACTTTTAGGTACAATTTTATCGGGAACGTACAAATATCCCTTTTCATTTGACCTACCTGCTGGGATTCCCTCAAGTTTTGAACATATAAATGGAAGAGTTGTGTACGAAATAACTGCTGAGATTTCTAGAGGAGATGGGCGATATTATCGAAACAGTAAAACGATACAAGTGTCTGTACCAGTGGACTTAAATGATATGGCGCACGAAATTTCAATGGTAAATTATTCCTTTACATATACAATTACAAAATACATACATGTATATAGAATCAAAAAAAAAACCATTTAAATATCAATTAAAATAATGTTATAGCGGGTGTATTTGAATTGTTATGTACTATTGACTTCAACAAAATTAATTGGTTTCTTGCGAAAAAGCACACACATAAGAGGACGTTGAATTGAGCTATAATAACCTATCCTATAAATCTAAAATCAATATCAATAGTGGAGAAATTACTTGTTTTGCTGACGACACAGTTATTCTGTACAGTTCTCACACATGGCAAGAACTGAAACATAATATTGAAACAGATATGATAAAAATAATTGAATGGTTTAATAACAATCAATTTCGACAAAACTTTTTTAACTTTTTTTATACCCTTTGCCCTTTGCATCATATGCTAACAGCATGACTGACTATCAAACGCTAACGATTAAAATCAATAATGCTGATATTAACATAAACAAAACGAATCATTTCAAATATTTAGGGGTATTATTGATTGTTATTTAAGGTGGGAAAAGCATATTCAAAATATTACAAAGACATTAAGATGTCTACTTTTTACATTTAAATATTTTAGTACAATCTTGAGTATAAATCACCTAAAAATAATTTACTACTTGTTGAGTCTAGGCTACAGTATGGAATACTAGCATGGGGTGGGATTTATCAAAAGTTCATCTAAGGGCATTAGAGATAATTCAGAATCGTATACTGAAAATTATACTCAAAAATCTCTTATTTTCTCAACAGATTTACTTTTTCAAGAATCTCAAGTGCTTGATATTCGCCAACTATTCGCCCATTCAATCTTAATTTCAGCATTTAAAAATAGAAATAAAGTACCTACTACACGATATTGATCACAGATATAGTACTAGACAAAAAACTTCCCATTTCGTTAAAATCTTGTCATCAAGAAAGGCTCTAGGACAAAGGTGTTTTACTTACTTGACACCAAGGCTTTTTAGTTCACTGCCAGAAATTTATAAAATATACCTTAAAACAATTAATTCCACAATTTTCATTAAAAAAGTTTTCAAAAAATTCCTAGCTAATACTGAAAGGAAATATATACATCATTTGACAGATTCAAAATAATCATATGCCAAATAGGTACATACTTTTTATTTATTTTCATGTCGTCCCTATATTGCCACTATGTATCCGCAATCTCTAGAATACTATATACCTAATACTAATACTATATAACTAAATAAGTATTGTCCTTTGATCAAAATATGGTATTTTTAATTTGACGTATTACATTTCTTACTAACATTTATTAGTTGCAAATAAACAAGTTCAACCCGGGAACACCATTGTTTATTTAAAAGTAAATTTGTATTTTTGATTTTTTTTGTAAATAAACATTATTATTATTATTAGTGACGAATAAAACTGAAAACATGCCACACTGGGTACACGAGCAATGGTGGTTGCCTAATAGTAGGGTTTATAATTTGTATACTTTGTATTCGTTCCTTCTATTATATATTCGAACCTAAACATGGTTGAATATCTTCTTTCTAGGGGATTATAAATGATTCTGGTGGTAGAGAAGCCAGTAGCACTTTTTTGGTACACAGTAGGTTCTTTCGTTCGCCCCACTGGTTCAGGAATGAACTACACCAACGGACACCATACCTATTTTTTGTTTGGCCCGGTGTAAAATCCATTAACCTTTCGATTGACGTTGTGGTGTCCACTGGTGGATACTTCCTCCACCAGCTATTTAGGAGGAGTGAATTACACTCGACATGTGTATAAGGAGGAAGTAAATTAGGATAAATAAGGTGGTGTAACTGGTGCAATTTACACTGGTGGAGGCTGCACCAACAGCGAACGAAAGAACCTATTTGCACTAGGCAAATTTACAAACTTTTCGTTCATTCTTGTCTTATACATTGCGTTCGGTCTGCCTTTAACTCCTTTAACACTTTTTACTCCAAACGACCCTTTTAGCGTTCGGTTTAGTCCGATTAGTGACAGTTTAACACGCTTAAGTGTCATTTAAAAGCACCCTAAAACACTCCGCTTTTGTCCCGCTCCAGGCCCTGACTATCCGAACTCGCCTTAGAAGATGGAAATACTTTGTTGCAGAAACCCCAGCCCCAGTATAAAGAACAATACAGTAGCGACAGATCATTTTTTATGAGGGGTCCATATTTTTCTGCGCATGTCCGAAAATAAGCGACAAAAACGTCAACGTCAATAGTGTCAATGCGATGTAAATATGTCATTATTTTTGTTTGTTTGCTTGAGACATTTTTATTTTAGTTTTTCATTTATTGTGTGATATTTTTGAAATGGCTTCTGCACCTGATCAGAAAAGAAAGAGATGTGTCTATCGCCCTTGTCCATCTCAAACAGAGTAAACAGACAAAGGGACAAGTTATTTTGCATTTCCCATGGAGCCAGAAAGGTATGTCTTAAGAAAATACTTTCAATTTTTATATTTGAAAACCAAATATTTATTATTTAAATGTCTTGAGGACAATTTTTACAATTTCAACAAAAATAATGTAAAAAATATATAATTTCTGAACTACTGTCAATCTAAACATTTGTTATCAACTTTTTTATATTTTAGGGCCAACATGTGGTTAAGAGCTTGTAATAGGGAAGATTAGAGTAACATAGATGTGAACAGTCTTCATCGGAATTACAGGTTGTGTGAGAAACATTTTGAGAAGAATTGTTTTTCTAAAACATTGAACCGTAAACGTTTATTGCCTACTGCTGTTCCCACATTTTTTATCCATCTAGGTCATCAGCCAAATGTCTATCTTCTCCCTAGTACATCGACCAAGTGCTTCCTCTGTTGAGACTATCATTGAACATGAACGAGACATTTTTGAAAGCGTACCATGTGCAACCTTCGGACATTCTTAATCAAAAATCCTACCTTCAAATTATTATAATGAATTAGATGTTCTTTGATTCACTATGTCCATTGATTAAAAATGTTCTGATTGACTACATCTAATCAAAATATATATATGTATTTCTTGTAAAGTAGCAAAAAGAAAACAAAAAAATGTATTTTGTGGTGTTATTATTTTAACTGTTTTTTAATTTTTGATTTGTTTCATTTATACAATATTTAAGCACTTAAACAATAATATATATAATCTTATAAACAGTTGTATGATATATATGTTAGGGAAATTAGGACAAGGATGATTAAATTCTATTTCTTTCATAATATCAAAAAAAGCTATGCGATATACCAGACATTACACAGGTATTGCTAAAAATAGATATAACATTTTTTTATAATTTAAATATATAGATAATAAACTTTTCATTTGGAGTTTTTAGGCCTCCATAAGTGCTTTATTTGCAATCATATGTTAAAATCTGTGAACTATCCAAATCTTCACATTCTTTTGAAAATTTAATAAATGTATCACATCCATGTATGCCTAAAGCTTTTTTGATCAAATAGCCACAAACATATTTAAATGGATTTTGAACTATTATATCTTCTGTCCTGTAGCTGTAATTAGGAAGAAAAACAGCTTCTCGAGTGTTTTTATTTATTTCAGGATACAGAGACAATATTTTTTACATCTAATTGTAGCAAGTGCTTGTCCAGGTCTTCATTACAATTCATGGAATTGCAATGAAGATAATTTTGACAAAAAAAGTTTTTTAAATGCCCTTTCAAATTGTACAGGTGTTGGATTAATTAAATTCCCACCCTGTTGCCTAATGGACCCAACAAATTTTTCTAGACAGTCACTGTTGATTCTTCTAGCCATTAAATATTTAAATCCCGCAGCAGATAACCTTTCCCATACAAATTTTAAACCATAAAATCGTTAAATATAAACATCTAATTTTTATGACGTTAATAGTATTTAATTATATACATAGGTAATATAAGCAATTGGGCAGCATTGTGCTTAACGGGTGACTTACAACAGGCATTTGCTAAAACTCATCTGAAGTCAAAAATTTGTACGTAGGAACAAAAATTGAAATAAAATAATTCTTGTATTGTAAATTCATTAAAAACTTACTAATTTGTAATTGTGTGTTTTAATAAATATTATTGTTATATGTTGTTTCACTTCTAAAAAGATACCTACATAACCTCATTTTAAATAAAAAAATAAGGTGCTGAGTTAATTTATTAGTTCCAGGAAGAAACCAAAAAATGTTTAACACATTTCATACAATGAATAATGGCATACAAAAGTAATTTATTTTAATCTAATTTTAAAATTGGCACATCTAGATTTTCACCGGAACTCATTTATTAAAGTTACACAATATTTTGATTAATTTATTTGCCTAGAATACATTAAAATGTTATATGTACATGTTTTAATTTTTTTCTAAGTGTACATCGCTAATTTGCAATTTTAGAGTTTACTTTTCTCCGTGTAGAAATAAGCGACAAAAACGTCAACTGTCATTGAAAATCTGACCACCCCGACATCAAAGAAGCCGACGCAATCTGTCGCTACTGTATTGTTCTTTATACTGGGCCCCAGCGGTGGAGTGCTCGACTAAGACGTCTTAACAAAGCTGTTAAATTGTCAAACTCAACTATCGAGTTTCTTCAAAATTCTGTTTTGTTTTAGGTACCTGTTATTTATCCGGTAGAGAAAAAAATAGACGCATGCTGGCTTTGTTATAGCGCCGATCTCACTATATCCCTGCGTTTGGAAAAAGACGCTTATTTACTTGGAGAAACGATTAAAATTAAAATAGACATTAAGACTGTAACAGGTAATGGTATAGCCAATGTAATCGCAAAACTATTGGCGGTAAGATTTTTTTTTAGTCATTTCATTATTTTCATTCCTCGATGCCATTTTCAAACCAATATAGTAAATTTGTGCAACAAGAGTGGATATGATTGCCATACGGATGATGTACTCGAATAATATACGTATATTTTTCTAAAAACTGTAAAATTAAAAAAAAACGTTATTAAGATATAGTATATTACGAGTGTGGAAAGTGACATTTTTCACACGAGTGGGAAATATTGTCGCACGAGGCACAAGCCGAGTGCGACTATCACACGAGTGTGGAAAATTATTTTTCGCACAAGTGATGTACAATATTTTTCCTACGACCACACAAACTAATTTCATCAAAAAATGTAAAACCAGGTTGTTATTATTATAATAATTAAAATGTATTTAAAAAAATAATCAACAATAATCGTATTTATTCAATTTTCATATTTTCTAAACAAAAAAAAAAAAAATAAAAACAAAAAAATAAAAAAAAACAAAAAAAATTCTGGCCCCGCCAGTATTTGAACGCGGTCGCTCGCCAGGTCTCAAATGGCAAAGTTGATAAGTTTAACACTGTAACCATCTGAGCTAATAGGCCATGCGTCAATTGAATAATCTAATCGGTTATGTGTTTAACCAGAATAAAAAGCAAACATATCTTAGTTATTTTAAAATTATTTTATTAATAATTGTTAAAGATAAATATCTAGGATCTAATTTACATCAATCTCAATAATTTAACAATCGATTTTAGTATTAATATGGACATTACATAGATCAAAATGGAAATGATGTGTTTGACATTTTGTGACAGCTGCTGCGGAAAGTAGCATATTCGTACACGGGTGGAAAGTAAATTCTTATTCATACGCGTGTGATAAAGGGCACTTTCCATAGGACTATGTAGTGTGATATGTGCCACTTTCCTAAGTGGTCGTAGGAAAAAATATTTACATAAAAATAATTGACACAAGGAATTGAATTTATGACTTTTACTAATTACTAAAATAAATTAGTGCATAGAACTCAATTTTCCTACACCCACAATTCAAAATACTCTTATCTGCATAGTTTTATGTTCGCAAACTTGATCATTCCTTACCATAATTTAAATATGACATGAGCATTGTGTAGTAGTTTGTGCAAAAAGCTATACTTTTCTTACGAGCGCAGAAGTTTGTAGAACGAGGCCTTAGGCGAGTGCCGCAAATCAAGCGATTGGGAAAAGTACTTTGCCTCATGTTACACACTATATTTTTTCTAAAATACAGGGTGTCTATAAAAGGTCTTTACAAAAACATACCACATATTCCTTAGACCAAAATAAGTCGATTTAAGTAAAATTACCTTAGTACAAAGTGTTTTATGTGGCAAAAATATTGTATTAAAAATGTTCACCATTTTCACGCTTACAAAGATTTATACGTCGAAGAAAATTAAAATGTATCCTTTCCATAACTTCTTCATCACCTCTAAGATTGTTTATTGCATCTTGAATACGTTGCCAGAGTTGTTCCTCATTTTCTACAGGTTCCCTGTAAACTGTGGATTTCAGATGTCCCCATAAATAGTAATCCTTCGGTGTTAGGTCTGGGGAACGTGGTGGCCAGTTTACAGGTGCGTCATTACCTCTGCCTATCCATTTGTGTGGATATTGTTCATTCAAGTGGTTTCTAACGTTTAAAGAAAAATGTGGTGGAGCTCCATCTTGCATAAACCACATATCTCTCCGAAGTTGGAGAGGTAAATCTTCTAACAATTCTGGCAAAGTATTTTGTAGAAAATCCAAATAATTTTCTCCAGTTAATCTTCGTGGAAGTATGACAGGACCAACAATGAAATTACCAATTATTCCAGCCCACACATTAATTTTGAATTCGTGCTGAAAATGGTTTACCTTTATTGAATGCGGATTTTCAACAGCATAAACATGTTCATTATGGGTATTAGTTATACCTCTTCTTGTAAAACCCGCTTCATCGGTAAAGAGAACCTTCTTGACAAAGTTTGGTTCTCTTTCTCTTTGCATATTAACAAATCGACAAAAACCCAAACGAATTTGAGGATCATGGACTAATAATTCTTGTACTGGCTTCTTATGGTATGGATATAGCAATTGTTCTCTAAGCACTTTATGAACGACATCTTTACTTACTCCTAGTTCCCTTCCAATTCGTCTGGTGCTTAATTCTGGATCTTTTTCAACACGTTCTAAAATGTCTTCTTCAACTTCAGGAATCCTTACAAAACGTTCTCTTCCATTATCAACAGTGTTGGGAGCAAAGGAACCGGTCTCCCGAAGACGTCTCTCAACAGCAGCAAAAGTTGGGTGGCTAGGTACACGACGATTTGGAAACCTTTCAGAGTACACCCTGACACTCTCTCGAGCATTTCCTTCACAAAATCCTAATGTCAGTAACATATCGGTATATTCTGCATTGGTATATTGTACAGCCATATTAATAAACCACGCATTTGTTTTTTTTTTATTGAGTCAGATAGAACACTTTCAATCGTTAACAAGAGATTAGGTGTTAAAACTTGACAATATTTTTATTTAGATGAAACTATGGAAACCAACAATAAATGTTTTTGTATACGTATTGCAGGCAAATAATTAATATTCCTCAAAAAATCGTACATGGCAAGAATCGAGTATTTTTGTTAAAAGTCTGGATTAGAGGTGATGAAGAAGATATGAAAAAAGTACATTTTTATGTTTTTCATCGTATAAAATTTTGTCCGATAATAATACATAGGCGTAGAACTTGATTTTTTAAATAATTGCACCTTTAAAAATTCTACGCCAATGGCAGAAAAGGGGTTTGAGTATGAAATTTGGATTGGGTACTCATTTACTACAGAAAAGTACCCTTGATAAGACTCGATTTACTCTCATGGTTTTGACAAAGTTTGTATTTTAATAATTATTGTTTATGTTCTAAAATTACTAAAATGCAAATTTTGTCAAAACCATGAGAGTAATCGAGTCTTATCAAGAGTACCTTTTTTAAAGTAAATGAGTTGCGCAATCTAAATTTCATGCTCAAACTCCTTTTTTTCCATTGGCGTAGAATTTTTAAAGGTGCAATTATTTAAAAAATCAAGTTCTACGCCTATGTATTATTATCGGACAAAATTTTAATACCATTTTTTTTTCCACATAAAACTCTACCAATATACCAAATTTCAGCAAAATCGCATATGCCGTTTTAAATTTATATGGGAAAACGATTTAAAAATTGTAACTTCAAGGCCCTCTGGAGCCCAAACGAAGCAACTTTGTACTAAGGTAATTTTACTTAAATCGACTTATTTTGGTCTAAGGAATATGTGGTATGTTTTTGTAAAGACCTTTTACAGACACCCTGTATATCTAGAAAAGTCTCTATAAAAACGTTACAAAAAAGACTGGTAATATTTCAATATTTAAACGGGATAACAACTGTCCCAAAATCATTTAGTGAACTGATTGGGTAGAATTACAAAAAAATTAGAAATTTGCAATTTTTTTAAATATTTAGACATTTTGGACAATCGGAAAATATGCTTTAAATATAATGATATTTTTTTGCAGGTTATTCAGTACTAGTACTAATGTTTTAGCCCCACAGCGCTAAAAAAAAATACAAACCTCCCATATAAAAAATATACACGAAAAAACTGTCAAATTATTTCTGCGTTTTGCGTAATCGAAATATATTTACCGATTTTGATAAAAAAAATTGTCCGCGGTATATCATATCGAAAACACAGATGAATTTGAAAATTTTCACACTACCCTACTCTACTCACCAACGAACGTCGATCCCAAAGTAGGCACTAACCACAGTTTATAGCTAAAGAATCAGTTCGCAGACTCTGCCTCGGCACTTTTGATCTCAATGTTTATACATTGCGCAACTCGGATTTGTATTCCTGGCGCATAGAGAATCAAATCATACAATGCTCAATAAAATTTTATATACCGCCTACATTCAAATAGCAGTCTTCTGCGCATCCTGAATTTGTATCCCTGGAGTGGATGTTATTTTGGAACATCCAATTGGGCCGAGTGAGCTAACTGATTCTTTAGCTATAAACTGTGCACTAGCCTTGCACCGATTCTGTCTTGTTAGAAGTGCCACATTAAAACTTTTATGATTCAGTATCTAGGGTTTCTAAAATCTATATATCCCCGTTTCTGCACTTGTAGCACAATATACTATTACTAATTTCTAAATTGGTCATAGGTTGAATGGAAAAATGTATTCATTATTATATTTATTTAAATATACTAAACGTTATTTAAAAGTAGGTACTCACTCTCTTTTTAGCATACGGAAGTTACTTCTGAACATCCACAAAGAAGAAAATTTATTGCTGTAGATAAAATAGCCAAGAAGAGCGACAATAATGGACAAGAAGGATTTTCACAAAAAGTGTATTCTTTTGATTTGGAAGTTCCGATGGACTGCAACGTTCCTTCTTTGAGCAAATGTAAATTAATAAGGAGAAGGTATTCTATCACTGTAAGTTTTTGATGTGTTCGTTTACAGGGTATTTCATTTTGAAATGCGCATAAGTTAAGGTTAGATAGAGGCACCAGGATGGTTCTGAATAACCCATATTTTATGGAACTCATTCTTTATAACCATATATGGAGTGATTAATAAATTTTATTCTTCTTTCATTTGTCATGACTTACGAACCACATTCTATATTTTTTCATGTGTCGATTGTAGTGCCAACTTCCGTATTAATAACATTTTTAGTCCAGATCCGGCTTCATACGAACTTAGTAAATTTGAATTAATTAATTAATACCAAATGAAAACACCTATTATAGTCCAGCAGAGATCCGTCTCGCGTTCATAGATGAAGACACCAATAATGGCTTGTTACATCAACTCAACGAAGGGACATGTACTATGCGACCATCTCGGATTGCTGGTATTCACTATTCAGTATTCATTGTATTTTCTTACTTTAACATGTTTTTAATTTAGAATATTTTATGAATATACTTTTTGTAGATGACATTTTTTTCTCTATTATTAAGCTATTACATAGCTTTTATCGCGGGCTTTGAGCGCGGCGACCGAATCAAGAAATTCCGTAACGTCCGTAACGAAAAAAAACCTAACACCCCCCACTCCGACCGGCACAGCGGTGCGGCGTTAAACAATATTAACGTTAAACAATATTTCTCATTTATTCAATAAAAGAAAATCGAAAAATTGAAAATCGAAAAAGAAATTACGTAACGAAAATAAACCTAACACCCCCCCACTCCGACCGGCACAGCGGTGCGGCGTTGAAAGCCGTGCATCGTCTAACGTCATTTCAGTTCTGCAGACTTCGGCACGGTGTTTATGTGCGTGCGACTAGATGTATGCGTGTAGACTATCTCCTAACTGCTCATAACTGATTCTATCTCTTTTAGACACAATTTCGGAAAAACTGAATTTGAAAATGAATAATGATCCACAAGAATCCACAACAAAATATGGGACCACCATTGACGCGGTATTTTTCAGATATTTAAACTAATGTTTCTTATTTCAGTTACTATAAACCTATAGTTTCAATGATAAAAATTTCTTAATAACCTACATGTATTGTAAGATAATAAAAATATTTTAAACAATATTAGCTTCTCATTAATTCAATAAAAGAAAAAAATTGTTTACCACGCTCAAAAAGTGTAACTTGAATTAATATCAAAGAAAAAAAATACTGCATAAATTAAATAAATATTTATAATTGCATAAGTTGATAAATAATGCTATGCAATAGCTTTACCGCGGCAGTCCCTGAGTGCCACATGTATTTTTATTTATATTATATAGCTGAATTAAATAAAATGTCTACAGTATTCTATATTGGAATACCTTCTGTTTTAGTATAGCATTTACAGTTCAAACGGTACTACTGATCAAAGAGGCACTATCGAAACGCTGGTCTGGTCATGTGCCTAGCAGTCAATAAGCCATTAATTACCAATATATTTATTTCTAGACATTAATAGTAAAATGATGGCTAAGAGATTTCGTCCCAACTGACGGCGGTAGTGACCTATATATGCCAGCCTTTTAATTATAAAAGTTAAATGGCTATCATTACAAAAGGAGGGTAATAGTTATTAGGTCTTTTATTCCTCTACGCAAAATGTTTGCTGGGTAACGCTGACGTTTCTGTCATTTGATGCTTAAATGATCTGGACATCGTGTTTATAACAGAAAAAATAAAAGAGTCGGAAGTTGCAGGTACGATTCATATCAATACCGATGGTTCTAAAACATAACAGGGATTAGGATGTGGAATATACTCCAGATCTTAAAACCTAAACATAAAATGGGCTGTGAGAAATAGTGCCATTGTAGTTCAAAAGGAGCTCACTGGGATTCTCATAGCAACAAAAGAAATCACCAGAAATAATATCACTGGAAGGAACATGCTCATCTATACAGTTAGCAGACACTACTCATCCTGAACATACCACGACCTTACGCAGGATTAGTACTAGAATGTATCCATCAACAATGTGGTCAACTTAAAATGGATCAAAGGTCAAGCCACATCTTAAGGATTCACTATCCAAGAAAGCAGCCAACCAAATACTTTTTGGACCTGGCCCTTCTATCGGACTGACAACATCGGTAGTGACAAGCCTAATTAAAGAACATTCCTTTGTGGAATTCAAGGAAAGATGGGATGAAACAAGAAGCTGCAGACTTGCCAGAGAGCTTTTAAGTTATGTTGACAACACTACAGCAAACAAATATTTACTATGACTAGACATAATCTACGCCTGATCACAGGCATTCTGACTGGTCATTGCCAAGTAAGGAAGCATTTCCATATCATGGGGCTATCAGAATTTGCACTCTGAAAGGGCTGCGAACAAGACGAGACCATCGAGCATATCCTCTACGATTGCCCAATGCTCTCATTTATTAGAAGATTTGTATTCGTCGAGAATTGGCTAACACCGGCCGATATAAGAGAAGCACCTCTTGGCGACGTTGTCAACTACATTAAATATGTAGGCTGGCTCACGAGCTAGGAGGTGCCTATATGCCAGTAATATGTATGTCTAAACTGTTATTGTATATTTCTAAACTATCATTAAAAATGTATAAACACTTATTAAATCTGTTTAACTCTCATTAATATTAGATATTATATATGTATACAGTACGTTAACCAACGCATCAAGCAAAATAATGACGAGACGCTTAATTTTATTTGGACGTGAGAGCAGAGAGTAACTCTCGACTCACCTTTCTGCCTGCCATGATTGGATACATGGTTACACCTCTACCATTAGTGGGATTTTGATCTATTCAATAGCATTGCTTTTCTATATAGTTTTCCTGGAGTCAGTGTTGGAAAGTTAACCTATTGTATGTTCGTTCTAGATCCCTGTAGATAGAATTTTTCGAAATTTTGTTCAATAAAATTGTTATATTTTGAATAATTAATAAAATGAAACATATTTGTTTAAATTTCGTAACATACGTCTCTCAAGTCAAACATATCATATCTAAACCAAACATTTTTGTATTCCAATACACATCCTCCATTTCTTAAGTAACAGCACTCTTTTCGATCCAACCAAAATAAAAAACTTCGGCAACCCTCATTATACTTTTCACTAGGCGAATGAAGCCATTATGGAATAATCCGAGAAAAGGGGCGTGCAATCTAACGCCTAACGCAAGTTTCAGTGAGTTACTCTTCAAGCGTTGAACCATCAACTTGTAAAAAATATGCATCGTTTTTTTTTGTACCGTACCTGCCGACACATGTCAGAGTCAGAGGTAGGTAAATTCAAATCAAGTCTATCACCGATCGGCAATAGTCTTTCTACAACCTTCCAACTATCAACTTGTGAGAGTCGTTCTATTCGTTCCTAACATTTACCGGCATCCGGTAGGCAATCTCTTAGCATCGAAATCAGAGCGTATAACTTTCTTAGACCAAATTTTATTAAATTCATCTAATGTACATATATGTAAATAACCACAGTATGTGATACTCTCTTCAGCAATTAATAAAAGGTTTTATTGACAAGTGAAGGGCAGTAATAAGTTGAAATTACACTCCACTCCGTACCAGCCTTACACTGATGTTCAAATGTAGGATTCAAATCCCCACAATACTTTTTGAAAATGAGTTAACTCACAAAAGTTGTGTTAAATATTGTAACATTTTAAAATAATTCATAATAATGATAATATTTAAACTTTATATACTGTACTTATTTTAGGCAATCGTTAATTTAAATGGTTGTTTTGACCCAATCAAAATACCAGTTGATATAAAACTCGGTCATATTACAGTTCAAGAACCTAGACCCATAGGATTTTCAAAACCTCCCGAACAAGACACAGAACCTTCAATAGTGCCTTATTCCAAAAACAATATGGCTCAGGCGGCAGTAGGTAAATAATTTTTAACTTATGACTTTTTAACCGACTTCAAAAAAGGAGGAGGTTATCAATTCGTCGCGATATTTTTTTTTTTTATGTATGTTCAGCGATTATTCTTTAACACGGTGTCCGATTTCAATGATTCTTTTTTTATTAGAAAGGGGGTACTTCAGGGGTGGTCCCATATAAATTTAGTCAAAATCTAATAATTGGGTCCATGAGAAAATCCTCAAACTCTTCATTTTTGATGTATGTTTAGCGATAATGCTTTACCACCTTGTCCGATTTATATGATTCTTTTTTTGTTAGAAAGGGGCTACTTCAGGGGTGGTTCCATATAAATTTGGTCAAAATCGGAAAATTGGGTCCATGAGAAAATCCTCAAACTCTTCATTTTTTATATATGTTTAGCGATAATGCTTTACCACTTTGTCCGATTTATATGATTCTTTTGTTGTTAGTAAGGGGGTACCTCAGGGGTGATCCCATATAAATTTGGTTAAGATGTGGTGATGGCATCTGCACGTTTTTGAAGTCGGTTTTTTTAAATTTTTAATTTACACTTGTACTATCTACATATAAAAGAATTATTATCGGTTTTAATATATCTACTTTGAAAGATAGCTCCCTCCTACAGCTTTTTTTGCTTTTTTGAAGATAAATTAAGACATTACTTAAGCATTAATAAAATTTTGAATTCGAATGAACAGATCATTCAAATACATACACTAACGAGTACCGAGTGCCAAGGGAAACGAAATAAGAATTAATAAAAATAATACACTTTGAATGAATTTAATTCTTCTTTAAAATGATTTGAGTGTTTCAAACAAAATATTTAAAATGTTGGATGAATACATTTTAAGTGTTGATTTAGGTAGGAAGAAGAGGTAAGTAGGTAGGTATTACCAGACTTGTTTTTACACTTTTTTCTATTTTATTAAAACAATGTTCTTAAACTATTAATAACAAAAAATGAAGGCATGGAAAATAAAGGCTGATTCCACCGTTGTGTTAAACGGAGATTAAAATGACATTGTTAATGTAAAAATGTAATTTTAAACTTCGTTTAACACAACGGTGGAATCGGTCCTAAGTTAATTATATTGATATTAGATATTGGCATAAAAATCTCGAGATCTCCTAGCATCCAATGATAGATCATTCGAATGATAATCCGATTATTGAAATCACTCGAATACTCATCATTCGATTATAACAATAATTCGATAATGCCCATCACTAGTGTTCTTATTCTTAAGTGACCCTATAATTAAAGATAATCTACTTCTATAGATGGATTTCTGTATATTATGTGTACAGCGCCACTAGTGGCAATTCTTTGAAATCAAAAACAGTTTCAGTTCGGGCTATACGAGTTACCGTTACCTGCCATTCAATAATATTGATTTTCAGCAAATCACCTGCCATACCCTATTGACGACTTCAATTTTCCATCACCTAGTCATCATCACGTGGTGCCGCCATTGCCAATCGTTCACCTTCCAACCAGTTACACCGCAATACCTAGCGCTCCGCCTCTGGCAACTATGTATTCTCCAAGACATTTTACTCCTCGAACAGAAGAGGAAGTTGCCGCATTGCTCCCACGAAACAGTAAGTACTCTTAAATAATGTACCAAAGATCTTCTACAACAACATGAAGGCTATTAGAAGTCCATTATACATTCATTTAGGTTTGTAATTTTTTGTTTTGTTTTTAAAAGCTTTCATGTCCCTAAGCCATCTGGCCGTATATGCAGAGGATACTTTTCAAGTAGCTGTTGGGAAAATATACTTTGACATTCATTTTAATATTGAAATCAGTTTTTGAAATGTGCCTGCAGGTTGTAAAGATGTCTGAAGAACGGGGGTTTCGGAGATTCTAGTGAATAGTTTTTGTAATCGGAAAAGTGGAGGTCGTAAGAGGTCCAAATAAGGCATGGGGGGGGAACTTAAGGATTTAGAGTATGACCGGACTTGTCGAAAATAGATCGCACGATATTATATAATCCACGTGGAATCATTGACTTGTTTATAAATTTCCTTTATAACTAAACATATTTACACGTTTTCTTTATGTTACAACCAGGAAAAGTAACTAACGGGAAAATAAAGAAAGATATCACACTTCAAAATAATGTTTAGTTTTCCTGAAATCTAGGTTTAAATAATATACAGGTTTTTAATGAAACACAGTTATACGTTGTAAATGATAGCGGATACAAAGTTAAAGATATTTTTAAGTATTCTCTTTTGGACGCGTTTGTAAAAACTCTATCCCTATTACACTTCTCAATTTCATTGCAGCAAGTTGGCCAAGTTATTTGTATGGAAGTTGTAAATAAAGTAGCTCTTAGATAAGTTGACATACCATTGTAAAGTTTCTTTTCAAAAGTTTATAAATGTTTTTTATATGTATTTTAGGTAATGATCAAATGATTCCTCCACCAACTTACGATGAAGCTATATTAAAATGAATGTGCTACTTAGACAAATAGGAAATATATATTAAATGCTTTTTGGATGAAATTAACAATTAAAATGTAGATGAAACTCTGTTCTGAAATTGTTCTAAATGCAACAAAAACATTAAAAATACTGTGATGACATAAAATCTCTTATATACATTTTAGAGCGTTCTTTGTACCTCTATCGACTGCCGTTTACTTTTATACATTTTCTCTTATTATATTATATTATATTTTAATAAATATCTTAATAAGACGGCTCTATGTTTTATTAATAAAATGCTTCGAAAAATTGTAATAAGCTAGGTGTATTATAATAGGTTCCCTATTTCTTAAAACGTATCACATAATAATTGTATTTAAGTGACAGAAAAATTAAAGATAATTTTTTTAGACAGCCCTCTGGAAGGAATGTTCATTATAATTATTATTATTATTTAAAAAAGGGTAAGTTAAAAGTGTAAAAATATCAAAGATGGTAAATAATAGTAGTTTGTGCAACAAGAGTGGATATGATGGCCATATCGCACGAAAGTCGAAAATAAACTGTTTCCCTATGATTTTTTATTTTTTTGCGGTTTATCCATAAGTGTATTTTTTTTAACTGTTTAAGTCCCAGGTAAGGGATGGTTAAATACTTTTTTTCTAATTTTGACACATAAAGTGACATTTTTTGTAATCGTAGCAAGTGTAAAAATGATCTACTTTACGCAACTAGTTGTATAATGTTGAACATTATGAAACTGGTAACAAAAAATTAATTATGTCACCAGTTGCAAAAATAAGACAAATAAAAATAAACATTCTATGATTTTAAAATCAATATATACCTTATTATTGAAAGTTAATATCAAAGAAGGGCAGGTTGACTCATAAAAATAAAATTTAGTTAAACTCACAACCTAGTAATAATGTTGTTTTGGTCCTAATTTTCCATTCTAAATCTGCACAAAATAAACAACAAAATAACCCTCTTTCTTGAAAACGAAATAACTTAAACAAGCACTATTCTCGTACATACACACTAAGTACAACAAGTTGTTGAGAATAAATTAATATTTGATATTTGACAATGAAATGATTGATGTAATGCATATGCAGCTAACAATACAAGAAAGTAATATTGGTTGCGTAGATGTCAGTAATGTTTTGCCAAAATTTAATTTTATTAATACCTAATCTAGTTAAAATTATAAAAAAATGTTTTGTTGCATAAATAGCTATTATTTTTGCTTTGATATTAGAAAATATATTTATAAACAATTTTTAAAAAATATTGTTTAAAAATGTTGTTAAAAAAAAAAAGAAAATAAAACAAAGAATTCTAAAAAAAAAAAGAATATAATAACCTAAAACTGACCGTGGATTATAGATTTGTGCCTAATTTTTAAATACCTAAAAAAATAAAAAAAAACTGTTTTTTTATTCACCAATGTAAGCAGTTTCGTTAACCTTATTGAATAAAAAAATTATTGTGCAATAAAATATACAAATCAAAATTTTAAAATAAATTTAAATTCACGTCAGAAAAGGCAAAATTGATTATTTGGATAGGTACCTACATCAAAAAATATATGTACCTGAATGAATTTTTAATATTATGCCCATAATATAATCCGGATAATACATTTTTATTTAAACCCTTATTATGATCCCCCTCCCTCCTTATTGCGAACAACTGTTTTAAGCAGATATACGTACCAAGTTGTATACAAATCAAGAGATCGATTTATTTATTACATTTTGAATTTTTAACCCGCAACATTATGTATTTGATATTTCCGACTCATATTACTTTTCTCTAGAGTCTAAAGTTATCAAAAATATTGAGTATTCGCCCCAGTCGTACAGCGTATAAGTATCCAATCAGTAAGTGTGCAAAGCCGGTTCCCGAAAAAGACCGAATACAATGACTGTAGGTCACCGAAATTTGTCACATCTTTTTAATGTAATTTTGCGAGAGTTACTCCTTCAGTGTATTCATGACTAGGTACGCCTCTGGAAAAATGTCTTGTTTTATTGTTTTGTATATGTTATGTTTGTATATTTTATGTAAAGAACACATTTTTATGTAATTTTATATTGTCACGTTTATTTAATTAATACTTTTCAATTAAAACTTTTTTTGTAAATGGACTAAAAATGGCTACCGAAGAACCTAGAATTTTAATATATGCAATACAAATTACACCTTTGTAAGTGAGTAGTCTAACGAGTAGGATACTTTTTAAAATTGGCATTACGAAGGTACAGTAATGTATTTTTAACCGACTTCCAAAAAGGAGGAGGTTCTCAATTTGTCGGAATATATAATATACATATATTTTTTTTATGTATGTTTAGCGATAATTCTATACCATGTTGTCCGATTTCTATGATTCCTTTTTGTTAGAAATTGGATACCTCAGGGGAGGTCGGTCCCATATAAATTTGGTCAAGATATTTTAATGACGTCCATACAAAAATCCTTTATGTATGACCAGCGATAATTGTTTAGTACGTTGTCTGATTTTTATTATTCTTTTTTTTGTTAGAAAGGGGTAATCTCATATACATGTAGTCAACGTTGGCACGATTTTGAAGTCGGTGTTTTAAAATTACTTTTAAAACTTGTTCCAACTCTACAATGCCAGAAAATAGAATAAATTGATACAAATATTGAGTAGAGTACGAGCTAAGAAAATTTTTGTAAACAGTTTTACATCAATATCAAAAAGTTAAAATATGTAATAACAGTTAAATCTGAAAATGTAATAGGGGAGACCAGGGTTAGTTGTCATAAGTTTACCAATAATTGTTTTTAATTAATTAATATGGGTGGATTTGAAATAAACATATTAAAATTTTCAAATCTTCAGATTAATTATTATGAATGGTAGATATATATTTTTTTAAAAGTGTTTGTGTATATTAAATCATGTATATAATAAACATAAACAGATACATAAATAATTGTTTTGGTATAAGGGACAGGATGCCAAAGTATGACAACCTGCCCCTTTTACCTAATGCCAATTAGCAGCAGTTTTCCTAACGTTACCCAGACAACACACCAAATCCCAGAGATATCCACAGAATATATTTTGTGGATATCCAATATATCCACAGGATATCAGAAATATTCCGTGGAACTAATATAGATATCCAAATGTCCGTCTATATCCAGAATATAGAAGATATCCTATGGATATTCAGCAAAATATCTAATGAGTATCTCCAGACAATACAAGAAATCCCAGATATATCCATAGAATATATTTTGTGGATATCCAACCAAATGTCCGTCTATATCCCAGGATATAGAAATTCAGATAAATATTTTATAATTATTTTTAGTAGAGGTTCATAAGTAACCAATGGTTATTGAATAACGTCGAAAGAAAATAGAGGTAAAAAATATTCCCAACAATCTGCCTTTGATTTTGCATACTAAGGAGAAAATCATCCTTATTAGGAATCTTCAGCAATAAATTGAACTTCTCGACTTCAGTCTCTAATGAAGTCTGTTTGTGAAACAATGTCGATCAAACTCAATTACGGCGGGTTAAGCATGCGTAGATACGAAAGTGGTATCGCCATCTATACTTAGGAAGCAAAATCAAAAATTACATCTAGTAGATATCCACGATGGTTTGCGTCCGCGCTTAGACTTTGATATATTTATATTTATAGTGGATGTCCATGGGATATTGAATACACCTTAAAAAAATTAATTTTAAATATCTCAACGGTACTATTAGCCACAATGGCGAGTACAATGGCGTAATTTTTTAATAATTTGCTATATAATTACAATTATTTATGGACATTTGCATGTCTATAAATTACATTTCATGGATATAAAATAGATATCCACCATGGACTGGACATTCAGTGGATATTGGGATGTTCAGTAGATATCCAAAGGATTTGGTGTGCTGTCTGGGTAGAGCAATGTGCATATGAAAAGGATAATAATTCCAAACTTAAACGTGACTAAACAGTAAAAATTAATGAAAATAAGAAACTCTCTTATAAAATATATATGTCTTGCTGATGACTTCTACTAAGAACGAAACCGGTCTCTAAGATGAGGTAAGGAAAATCAAAGTAAAAGTGTTGAAATTAAATTTATATATCTGCTGTTACGTTATTAGTCAAAGGAGTAGTTGTTTTTCAAATGAAAACGGTCGCTCGTTTTATTTTGTGATGGCTTAGATGATTTCTTGTTTTCAGATATTTCAATGTGTATGTTTGCAATTTACAGAAAATATATTTTAAAATGAACCCTATGGATTGTCAGAAAATGAAGAATTGATACGCTGTTCAGTTTTTGAGGTCACACGCCACCCAAAACTACACCCAGACAGCACACCAAATCCTTTGGATATCTACTGAACATCCCAATATCCACTGAATGTCCAGTCCATGGTGGATATCTATTTTATATCCATGAAATGTTATTTATAGACATGCAAATGTCTATAAATAATAGTAATTATATAGCAAATTATTAAAAAATTACGCCATTGTGCTCGCCATTGTGGCTAATAGTACCGTTCAGATATTTATAATTAATTTTTTTAAGGTGTATTCAATATCCCATGGACATCCACTATAAATATAAATATATCAAAGTCTAAGCTCGGACGCAAACCATCGTGGATATCTACTAGATGTAATTTTTGATTTTGCTTCCTAAGTATAGATGGTGATACCACTTTCGTATCTACTCATGCTCAACCCGCCGTAAATGAGTTCGATCGAATATTTTTTTCACAATCAGAATCAGACTCTATTAGAGACTGGAGTCGAGAATTTCCATTTATTGCTGAAGAGTCCTAATAAGAATAACTTTCTGCTTAGTGCCCTTATAGTGGGCAAAATCAAAGGCAGATTGTTGGAAATATTTTTTATCTCTATTTTCTTTCGACGTTATTCAATAATCATTGGTTACTTATGAACCTCTACTAAAGATACCTATAATAAAATATTTTGCTTAATATCTGAATTCTATATCCATATTTGATATCTCTGGGATTTCTTGTATTGTCTGGAAGATACTCATTAGATATTTTGCTAAATATCCATAGGATATCTTCTATATTCTGGATATAGACGGACATTTGGATATCCATATTAGATCCACGGAATATTTCTGATATCCTGTGGATATATTGGATATCCACAAAAGATATTCTGTGGATATCTCTGGGATTTGGTGTGTTGTCTGGGCAGTGGTCTGTGCGCAAGTGGTATTGGTATCCATGGTGTGAGG